CGGGGTATGAGGGGCCTGGCCGCACCTCCCCACCCAAGGATATATCGAGTACCCCCCCGGGCGAAAGACACCCCTTCCGGCCCTAAGTTGATAGCTGTGCCATGTGTAAGACATCTCCACCACGGTAGAACCATAAGAGTAGCGCCCTCAAAACCAAACAAGCTTAAATTTTCCAAAAGAACAAGTCAGCGTTGATTGCAATTGATAACGCGAAACGTCTCAAAAGCGATTTATTTTAGCTCTGCTAATTACAATTTATAACCTTGGTTTATCTAAATTGCATCTGAAATCTGCCTGTTAGTTTTGATAAGACAAATTGTTTTTGTCAAGTTGGTAATATACCAACACGATCAATAATAATTAAATACCAATTACTTATAATTTCGCAGAATACTTATATGTTAAAGAGTTATGAGGCTGTTACAATGCTTTTAAAAGTGCAGCTGCGAACATTATCAGAAATTATGTTTCGTGCCGATCAAAAAACTTCAAAGTAACATTTTTATCATTTCGGCGGGCTGATATCCAAGATATCACCACATATCAGATAATAATTATGGCATTACACGTTTCTTTTTGTTATGGTATGATATGATATGCCATCGTGTTACTGAACTATCACGGGAATGATCTTCCTTTCTCAGAAAAAGCTGATAAAGACTCTTTTCTTTTCTTATCACCCTCTTTAGTTAATACACTGCACTTAGTAGCCTAATTTAAGAAAAGTAAAGCATCCAAAAACAAAATTATCAACTGTAGCTAATTGTGGTTTATTATGTTCCTCAAATGAAGTGCAGGTGAATGTAAAACACGAGTTTACATTATAATCCGAAACAGATATTTTCTAAGTTAATTTTTTCCTCGGTTTTCGGCTGCCAGCTGCCATACGCATTTCAAATGAATCCGAAACATATCATTTTTTCCTTATCTTCGTCCATCATACCTCTTAGAAACGCTGACAACGTAAGCCAGAGGCCCTAAGAGGAAAATTAGTGAGCTTGTGTGTCGGCGCACAAATCATAAAGATATTATTGGTATCATGAGTATACGCTTAAAAAATATTTAACGAATGTGAGCTTTAGTATATGGTTAAATGGGTATAGCAGACGAAACTGGCCGATACGTTGATAAATAGCCGGCCGGGACACTGATCGACCTTGTCCTATCTGCAATATCTTTGATTTTATTATATCAGCTTCTATCAGTGTCGTCTAATCGAGTTTGTTTTCCGTCTTAAAGCGGTAGAAAATTGGCGCCTGAGGGATTTCCGTAAAAGGAGACTACTCGTGCGGGACGAACGTGTAGGCGATGTGGGGATTTTCCGCATTTTTAATGATATAGTTACAGAAGGACAGCACTAAATTCATATTCTTGTTGTTTCTTCTTCAGGAATGCAATGATGACATCGGAATTGCAGACCGCTGTGGTAAGCGAATTCTACTCTCGAGCATCTTGTGGACGCACTGATATTAAAAGCGGATCGCTGGAAACCGAGGCCATTCAGAAATTTTTATCTATATGTTTGAAACAGTACTTCAGTTGCTCCCAGGATGAAACGAACGAAGCGAGTTTTTCCAATGTCAGTCCTGAAATTCTCGAGGTATGTTGAAATTCACTTCTTCACCTTATTCTGTAACGTAAACAAATGTATGCTCAAGTATGCTTGAAATTGTAGGAAACGTCAAACAAATCAAGTCACCAATTAGCTTCAGAAAAACACCAAACTTCCAAAAGCGAATTGACTTGGGGAGTCTTATCGCCCAAACGTCGTGCCTTTGTATTAAATTTGTCCCAGCAGGGAAAATCATTACCTGACAAAGCTTAGTCAAAGTGAAATCTGTTTAGATTACAATGTACTTCAGTTGAGCACAAGGTATTATACTGTACAAATCAGTTCTTTGCTCTGATTCGAAATCGCGTGACCAACTACTTTTTTCTTTATGTCATAGGGTTTGGTATTGAAACGCATCTTACTGTGGCATGTTTTACCTTTTACCAGTTGTTTCAGTCTGAGGTAAATTAGAAGAAATATATATACAGTATCCTGAGAGGTTTTTTAGAACAACACACTTTTTCACTTCTATCTTAAACACGGGTTATATTTGCTTAATCTACGTCACAGATACTTTGCTTCCGGCTTCCGAGAGAAGATTAAGACAGAAGGATTGCCAAAATGGCGGCAAATTTGAACGTTTTAAAAATATTCTAAAGAAATCACATAGTATTCAAATTGCAATTCTTTTTACAGAGGTCCGCGTAGTAATGTGTACTTTCAATTCAAAAGTAAAAAATTTTACCTTATGGGCACTTTTAGCCATAGAGCAAGTTGATGTCGACAAGGAAGATAGGGTGGGGTAACGAGAGACCCAGGGGGGTACTCCCTTATAAGAGCTTAATAGGGATGTGCGGCCAGCCAGGGTATGTTTTTCGGGATTTTTGTCGTAAACAGGGTATCGATTTTATCACTTTTTTGTCTTAATCAGGGTATCGATTTTATCAATTTCTGTCTTAAACAGGGTATCTTAGCTTTTCTTGGACGGTAAACAGCCTGCGTGACTCTGTTGATCAAGCTGTAAATAGTTTTGTGATTGCCAATGGATTAAATTGTTGTCTTGTTATTGTTGTCTTACATAGGGTAAGGTTTCGAATTAAATGTCTTAAACAGGGTATCAAAAATCGGAATTCTGTCTTAAACAGGGTAGGAAAATCAAAGACTTTTGTCTTAAACAGGGTCGGGGTATGAGGGGCCTGGCCGCACCTCCCCATTCAAGGATATATCGAGTACCCCCCCGGGCGAAAGACACCCCTTCCGGCCCTAAGTTGATAGCTGTGCCATGTGTAAGACATCTCCACCACGGTAGAACCATAAGAGTAGCGCCCTCAAAACCAAACAAGCTTAAATTTTCCAAAAGAACAAGTCAGCGTTGATTGCAATTGATAACGCGAAACGTCTCAAAAGCGATTTATTTTAGCTCTGCTAATTACAATTTATAACCTTGGTTTATCTAAATTGCATCTGAAATCTGCCTGTTAGTTTTGATAAGACAAATTGTTTTTGTCAGGTTGGTAATATACCAACACGATCAATAATAATTAAATACCAATTACTTATAATTTCGCAGAATACTTATATGTTAAAGAGTTATGAGGCTGTTACAATGCTTTTAAAAGTGCAGCTGCGAACATTATCAGAAATTATGTTTCGTGCCGATCAAAAAACTTCAAAGTAACATTTTTATCATTTCGGCGGGCTGATATCCAAGATATCACCACATATCAGATAATAATTATGGCATTACACGTTTCTTTTTGTTATGGTATGATATGATATGCCATCGTGTTACTGAACTATCACGGGAATGATCTTCCTTTCTCAGAAAAAGCTGATAAAGACTCTTTTCTTTTCTTATCACCCTCTTTAGTTAATACACTGCACTTAGTAGCCTAATTTAAGAAAAGTAAAGCATCCAAAAACAAAATTATCAACTGTAGCTAATTGTGGTTTATTATGTTCCTCAAATGAAGTGCAGGTGAATGTAAAACACGAGTTTACATTATAATCCGAAACAGATATTTTCTAAGTTAATTTTTTCCTCGGTTTTCGGCTGCCAGCTGCCATACGCATTTCAAATGAATCCGAAACATATCATTTTTTCCTTATCTTCGTCCATCATACCTCTTAGAAACGCTGACAACGTAAGCCAGAGGCCCTAAGAGGAAAATTAGTGAGCTTGTGTGTCGCCGCACAAATCATAAAGATATTATTGGTATCATGAGTATACGCTTAAAAAATATTCAACGAATGTGGGCTTTAGTATATGGTTAAATGGGTATAGCAGAGGAAACTGGCCGATACATTGATAAATAGCCGGCCGGGACACTGATCGACCTTGTCCTATCTGCAATATCTTTGCTTTTATTATATCAGCATCTATCAGTGTCGTCTAATCGAGTTTGTTTTCCATCTTAAAGCGGTAGAAAATTGGCGCCTGAGGGATTTCCGTAAAAGGAGACTTCTCGTGCGGGACGAACGTGTAGGCGATGTGGGGATTTTCCGCATTTTTAATGATATAGGTACAGAAGGACAACACCGCAACTAAATTCGTATTCTTGTTGTTTCTACATCAGGAATGATGACATCGGAATTGCAGACCGCTCTTGTAAGCGAGTTCTGCTCGCGAGCACCTTGTGAACGCATTGATATTAAGAGTGGATCGCTGGAAACCGAGGCCATTCAGAAATTTTTATCAATATGTTTGAAACAGTACTTCAGTTGCTCCCAGGATGAAACGAACGAAGCGAGTTTTTCCAATGTCAGTCCTGAAATTCTCGAGGTATGTTGAAATTCACTTCTTCACCTTATTCTTTAACGTAAACAAATGTATGCTCAAGTATGCTTGAAATTGTAGGAAACGTCAAACAAAAATAGGAAGTCACCAATTAGCTTCAGAAAAACATCAAACTACCAAAAGCGAATTTACTTGGGGAGTCTTATCGCCCAAACGTCGTGCCTTTGTATTAAATTTGTCCCAGCAGGGAAAATCATTACGTGACAAAGCTTAGTCAAGCACTTTAGACAAATCTAATGTTACATGAAGTCAACTCGTGTTCCATAATATGACATGTTTAGTCAAGAAACGAGACTAAGCTTTAGCGCACTGGTTGATGAAAAAAGAAATACAGTATCCCAAACCATAACTCGTTATATTTTTTCAAGAGAGTTATAACACCGCAAAGAAAAACAGATAGCAAGGCTTCTTAGTTTTGTTTTTTGAATGGTAATAAACCTAATGCCCTTAAAAATTTCCTCCCACTACATAGACATTTGTTACTCAAGCAAGAGAATAAACAAAATACAATTAGCGCTTCTTTGAAGAAAACGCCCTCTTTCATTTTAATTTGGCGGGATACCAGCTACCTTCTTTAGTCCGTTCAGGGTGGCACTGACCTTTGGCAATAATCAAGTGTTCTTTCTCATATCAGCTAAACGTAGTATAGATCCTGTGCAAGAAGAAGAACTCGTAGAGAGAAGGTGTTTATCGGCTATTAAAATTCAAATAGAAGACCACTGTTTCGCGTTAATGAAAGCGGATGCTAAATCCTGATCTTTTAGTAATCTCATAATTGCGCAAATAAAAAATGTTTCGAGAAAATAGCAATTTTCCACCAGCTTAGACAATGGCATCTTACGATGATATCGAACTTATCATGTCATATCATAATACATGTCGAGCTTTATAGATTCTGGCGTTTCTTCTGCGTCTGTTTAGAAATCTTCAACTCAATGTTTGTTGTTGCTTGAGAGATTATTCTGACGATGGGTTGACTTTATCCTTAGTTGCATTGTGCTGCAGTTTATGTTGAGAGCTCTCTGAGCGTGCACAGTCGTTTGTTTTCATGCACAAATTCAAATTGTGACTTCTGCCCAGGCGGTTTGCGTACTGGGATCGCTAAGCATCATGGGCGTTGCTCAAAATCTGATCATTTGTGTCAAGTTGGCGTGGAGAGGACATCTCGCAGGAAGCTGTCGTTACAATGCGACGTTTCAATAGGCCATTTGCACGCGATGATTGCACGCGATGACGTCTAGGGCTTTTGTTGTTCATTAACCTCGCAAGGAGTGCCAAACTTAGGTACTAAAGGAAAGAACTAATGAGATTGTGGTGATAATAATGAAATGACTCCATCGGGCACGTTTAAAATGATCAGAGGACTATTGAAAGATGCGCACGGTCAAGTCCAGAAAAGCGAACTAAACGGATAACAATGACTTCCGAGGCGCTCATAGCTATAGCCATTGCGCTTTTTAACCATGCTTTATCTAAGGCGCAATTCCAAGTAATAATATTGACGTCAGATTCCAAAATGTATGCTCGATTTTTTTCTTCCACGTTTCACATGTTTTTCCTTCTCATTTTTTTTCTCTCCATTGCTAGCCTCGTTCCCATGCTGGGTCTTCACTTCCTTCCTCCCAACCCTTAGGTTGTTTGAACGTTCGCAAAGTAAGAAGCAATAAGAAAAGAAAAAACTGACAGCATGTCTCGTAACATCGATCTACAAACAAACAAACTAAAAGATGTGATTTGGTTCTGTTGAACAAGAGCATCTCATAGAAAAAATAACTTTTAATCAGATATGCTTAACGTTATTAAAGGAAAACAGTTTCTATATCCAGCTTTATGAGATAAACCGTTGTCTTATACCTCAAATAGGATTAAGACAAATCCTGGTCAGGACTGGCGACAAAAACTACCGAACGTAATGAGATTTTGTCGTTTCTCGGAGGTGCCAACAGAAATACTTCAGTTATGCGCTTTTTCTATCTTATACTGCCAACCCAGCGAGATATATAATCTTTAGAAGTATTTTAAGAGGTTATCATTACAGACGCTATCAAGCTCTTTCGCTATGGGAAAGGGTATGGCAAATTTATCAGTTAATAGGAATCATGTACGCCCGAAAATATAAGTTGCTGAGGGTAATTATTAATGTATCATTACTGAATTTTAAAACAAATGTATAGAAGATCCCCGCAATTAAAGACTCAACTTATGCAGTCTTATGCGTCTTAAACTAAGATAGTGTTAAGATGATCTTCTTTACATTTATTTCTGTACGTATCCCGTAGTTCTCATCAGATATGAAATTCATTTATTTCTTATTTCATTTCTGAATTATGTTAGGATCAGACTTCAACTTCTGAAGACACCGGCGTCGAATTGGATCAATTCAGTAATGCTGATATCAGTTGCAGGTTCTGTAAGGATGATATGGCACCAGTATCGCTGGCTTTGAAGGTGAATTTGTTATTATTCACTGTAGTGTTGACTCCCGATAACTCGAACCGTCGCTAACTCGAACCTCGCGCTAACTCAAACGAAAGTCGATTTCCCCTGGATTTCCTTCATACATTTACTGTAACTTTACCCTCGCCGGTAACTCGAAGTAATTTTTGTTTCCCTTCAGATTATACAATTTTACCCTCGGTAACTCGATTCATGTTTTAAGCACTTGACAAGTCGGGAAAAAAAACGGTGTACCACTGTACAGAAGTCCGAAGCACTGAATTTATCTCAAAACAACCGTGTCGATTCTTTGTCGTTAATTTTTTTTGTCCACCTCCAGTTCAAATTCAGTGTCCATCCCGGCCGTCAAGTGTGCATGATACTTGCACTTCCTCCTCATCTTTTTGCTTATTTGCTTAATACTTCCGGTTATTTGCTTCGAACTCCCGATAACTCGAACTTCGTTCGATTTCCCTAAAACGTTCGAGTTATCGGGAGTCGACTGTAGTTCAGTTGTTTAGTATGCAATAGCGGATCAGAGGAAGCTTTAGTAGGATATCTTTTCCTAGCCTGGGGCCCGTTCCTGGAAAGTCCCGGAAACTTTTCAGGCCCGAGCGCAAATTCTAAAATCAAAACCTGTAGAATAGTAGTATAGTTCCTGGCTCATAAACCAGTCAATTTTCCTTCGTTAGCTGATAGATTCGTTGGATCATTATCAAAATTACTGAAATTTTAACCTTGAATGCAATCACGACAAACACAAATCAGCTTTTCGGGCCCTAAAAGCTATCTGGACTTTCGAGAAACGGGCCCCTGAAATCTTTACTTCTTTCTGAAAAGCCTGTGGTAGACTTGCAGGTAGTGGAGTGTGGCGCGAAATCAGAAGGCCGGAAAAAAATAAGGAGGAAAAGAGCCGGGGAGAGAGATCACAGAAGGGAACTGCGTTCCTTCGCTCTTACCCCCTATCCCACCCCTGCGCTGTTTTTTTATGCTCAAATCTCTTTGCGACCTCAAAATAATCTGAACTCCTGAAACAGGCTACTTACTGAACAAGTGGAGGGTTAAAAAGATAATTTTTAACACCAACTCCATCAAGTTTGCCAGGCGCTAGAAAAACTCAACGGTTAAGAGTGAGCTAAATAGCTACTAACGGGAAAAAGTCAACTGATTGCAATGCATTGCGTAATGATGAAATTGATATTGAATCGAAATTTACATGGCGAACTCATCTCTCAAGATGAAGAGGTATTCTTTTGCCTTTTTTATTTCACATTTGACCGATTTACTTTAATCTGACTCCAGTGAGATACACTACAGAACACTCTTTTGAGCTTTCGTATAAGACTGGGAAAAATAACCTCACTCTGGCACTCTTAGGCACTCTGGAAGTAACAAAATGTTGTCGTTGTTGTTGTTGTTGTTGTTGTTGTTGTTATCATTTTAATTTGTTTTTGAAAAAAAAGTGAACTGTTTTCCAAAAGAGTCTAGAAAAGTGAGTGTCTGAACTTCTTTCCAATATGTAAGAATTAATGAGGTCATTATTTGAACATCAGTGTCTCGAACTCAGAAAAGGCAGTGGTGGTGTAGAACAGGAGGCGAGTTTCCGTCTATGAGTTTATGAGTTTCCGTTTAACAAGCCCCAGTAACAAAAAGGACGTTCGAAATAGTGATTATATTAAGCCTGTGTCGATGACAATAATACACAAAATGACAGCCTTCTTGACAGGCACTTTGACATGCGCGCGAAACTGACGAATGCTGATCGGAAATCAACGAAACGCGAGACATCAAAGGCAGGATCAGAAGGAATCGGTTCTCACCAACTTTCTCCATCCCGCCGTTCTTTGCGGTCAAATTGAGCACTTAGATAGAAAGTCTTCTGGCCAAAAAAAAGTAGACAAAATGAAAAAGGGAAACTTGAAACTAACATTTATTGTTGTGGCGGCCATTTTGAATTTTGAAATACGAATATAAGGACTAAAACTACATAATCTGTGACGGTCTGAATGAAAGTTTGAAAATTCTCGGAAAATCCAGATGACCGCAGATTTACCATGATAACGGGCTCAGCTGTCCAAATATGATACTCAAGCTGTCTTAAATATTTAAAGTACTCGAAGGGACTACCCAGAACAAAAACACTTACAATATAATTTCAATCTTTGTTAAGTCAATATTTGGTCACGGCAGACTTACTGTCGTCTGTACTGATCAACAATACACACGACAGATGTGACATTTTTTTAAAATGGAAGAGAAAAAGTAAAATAATTGTTTGCCGCGCCAAATTTCAGACCTCACTATATCTCCAAACGTTTATTTCCAAGAACATTTCCTGCGTTCCTCTAATTCAAATTTTCTTTAGTGAGAATAACAATTTTAATTGCCTACTATAATTTTGTGGACGGTAGGTATTGTTCTTTTGCAACCTACCGACAAATAAATCTCATAAATAGAACTCCAATACAAAGGACTAGTTTATAATGCATTCTTTTACAGTAATGTATTCAAAGTTGTCAGTTCAGCAAATGTCTTCACGCTAGCAAGCGTAGATATTTAGAAACATAATAACACATTTCAGAAATTCGTCAACGAAATAGAGCTAAATTTTACCTGCTTGCGACCGCAAGTGAGGAAATACTAAAGATAAAGATTTAAAGATTACTAAAGGGTTTAACGAGGTAAGTTTCGCCCTTAAAGCTAAACTTGATACTTTGCCTGAATGAAGTTCGACGCGCCGGAGATCGATCTCGAGAAGATTGCATTGATTTTGTCTCGGAAGGAAATTCTTAACAATTTTTTCCACCTCAATTATTTAAAAGAGGTAACTGATAATGTTGAAAAATAATGTAAAAGGTTATGTTTTTCAGCCGCCTTTCCAAGTGAGTACCGTAGCTACCAGCCAGTGATTTAATAACATGTGGATTTGATGTCGTGAAAAAATATACTTAATTATGTTTCCATTTTATTTGGAATTACAAATTAGGTCAGAGCGTAGTCTAGCTTATGTTTTGTGCATTTCCTCCTGTCAAATGGCTTTAATAATTATAATGGAAACATAGGCTCGTTTGTGTCACGAAGTATATAAATATATTCATTACGTTCTCAACATGTGCTTTACCTGTGGTTCGTACATGCCGTGTAGTCCGGTAAACAAACAAGGTAGGTAGATGGATACGCACTCACGAACGTTCAGTCAATAAGGACCATGCACATGCTAAGAAGTGAGCAATTGGCCACATTCATCATAATTTCTATTGGGTTTTTACGGGCCTTGAACTTTCCGAACTTTAATTCCATCGCAAAGCATTGAAGCTTGTAAGCGAATATCAGCAACCTTCGAGCTTTTATTGCGTGAAATAAAAGGTCAGTGAACTATGTAAGGAGTTTTTTGCGAGTTAACGCAAGAGTTAATTTGTTAGAATTTGCCGAGTAGCGTGGTGAAAGCCTTCATTGTTAGAACTTTCTCATATTTCATTTCTCCTTTCACATTCTTTCGAAATACATCGGAAATCCAATATCGGCTCTTAACCCCGGCACCAAAAGTGAAATAATAACAATTTTTGTCACGATCAGACTACCTGCGGGGTTTAGACTTAGTGTTGTGGAAAGCACCGCGCATTTTTCGCTTCAATATAATTCCTTGCTTTCTTCCAAACAGAACCACCTTGACGCATGCCCACTCTTCCCAGTCCAATGTCCTAATATGTGCGGCAAGATGTCGGTCCCCAGAGAGAAGGTACGCTATCAAACTTATGCTGTAATTTGTGATTAGAAAGATAGCGATTTAAGCAAAACAAAATTCCATCATCAAGTTGAACTTTTAAGCGATATTACTCCAACATAGACTCTATTCACTAAGTTATCAGAAGATTTTTATCATAAATAAAAGATGTGGTTGTTCGTTTGGTAACAATTTTGAAGGATTGATCTAAGTGAAGGGCCAGGCTGATGTTACACGTCATGACACTCAAAGAATTCGTTTAATTTCGTCGTAAGTAGACCATGCATAAAGTTTATTCGTGTAAAGCAAAAAGTTTATGTGAAGCCTGTCAGAAGCTATCGATGTTTTTTCAAAGAAATATTTGTGAAATGCTCGCTCGGTGGCCAGTGGCATATGGTTTTATTGGGACGTTATCTGTTGCTAAACATCTTATACCTTATGTGTATTACCCTTCTTATGATGACAAACACGTGCACATCTGCTCTTAAAAGCTATAAGGGTAATTAAGTAATTCTTTCTGTATCATGTCGACATTTTTTGGCCAAAGTCATTACAAAAATCTGAGGAGAGCTTCGACGCTGAATTCAAAATTCGACCTGACTGTACTTGAGGCTATGGCATCTGAAAGGATATAATTACAGAATGGTGTTCTGCTGTTTATTTGGCTGTAATCGAGGATTTTAAACCTAAAAGAACTTAAATTGAATTTTTTCTTCTTCTGATGCTGAAGGGTTACTCATTAGCTTTGAAGGGGCAGCCAATCGCAAGATCTCAATGCTAAAGATAGCATTGAGGCGCAATAAAATACACCCGACTTGTTCTCTCCCGCACGTTTATTCTGCTTTTACGCCGTTTGCATTTTTTTTATAAGCAAGTAGGAAAAAACAAATTAGATGGAACTTATTGGCGCCAAATTTCATTATAAGAAAGGTGAACTGTTCCGATGGTACAGTGACTTGTTTCCGTCTTTTAAAGCAATAACAAAGCTCTGTATTAACGAAAGAAAGGTTATTCGACCTATTCTCGACATTCTAAAGGAGTGACTTTTTTCCGGCTTTTAACTGAAAAATAACAAAAACATGTTGTGATGGTACTCAGCCAATTAAATCGACCCTTTTGAACTCAGATATGTTTACTTTGGTGTAAGAACAAACGGCTGGGAAAAAATTTCGCGAAGGTCAAGCGGCTCGATAAAAGGCTGCCAATTTGGCCAGTAAACATTTCTCCTTTCAGTTAAAACGCGAAGTCCCTTTGTCTGAAAATGAAAAAGGTCACTCAATCTTCAAAGAAAGACAAGATTGACTCTTGATTAAAAGTCTTCAATGGAAGGGTCTGAACTGTGCGGGGTGTCCAGCTGAATTGATTTTTCAGTGCCCTCAAGCATTTTCCTGTCTGTAAAGAACATTAACAGCAAACAGCCGTAAATTGCATTGTGCTTTGGTCTTTTTTAAGGTCTTCCTCGGATGGAGGCCTAGGGGGAGTTAGTTGGGTCGAAAAAAACGACTCGACGAAAGTTTTCAAGCACCGCACCGGTTCTCTTTACCCGTTACACAACTGACTGATCCTGGGTCTCTAAGGATGTTGTAAGCCGTATTTGTCTCTAAAATATACAATCAATTAATGTAATGAAAAAACACATAGTATTAAAGGGGAGAAGTTATTTTAAACGTCTACTGCTTTTTTTTCTTTCATATTTAATAATGGACCTTTGCGGTTACTTGTTATCAGGAGGCTGCTGAAGATATTCTTTGGAGACAAAATACGTATGTTGTAACTAATTTTTTTTAATTTTCTATTTTTTGGTTTTTAGCTAACGGATCATATTATAGTTGAATGTCCCAACACATGTAATCATTGCGCCTATCAAGATATCGGCTGTTCCTTTCAGGTAACTTGACAAGTAATGCTCGTCTATTGATACATAATTTCTCGCAAAGCGAGGTTAATAAATTTGTCGGAATTAGCGTCGCGCGTTGATCGCTCAGGCGTGCGCAGTTGAATCGCAGATAGCTTACACGGCTGTATATGAATCTACTAGGTTGGCGCCCGTAGTTTCTTAACAACAAATCAACAAATGCTTTTGGCGATGAATTTCGACAGTAAATGGTCTTAAGCAAAGGAAGAGCCACTCACCACTCAGTTATTAATTCTTCTTCTTCTTCTTCTTCTTCTTCTTCTTCTTATCTTCAAACTAAGAGGGAAAATCGAGGTAAAAGACCATTTGCAGACGGGTTTGCTTCTGTCGGCTATGTGTGTCGGAGCAGCGTTTCAGTTTCAGCCTAGCTTTTTGCAGTCAAAACCTTGCTTATTCCCCTGGAATCTATCTTTGAATACATGTTAAACCGAGACAAAAAAAAAAACAGTGCTTGATGCTTTTCTCCTCTGATGGATTAAAGTCTGGTTTCAGCTGCATGCCTCGAACGTTGTACAGTCAACTCTCTTTAAGACGGACACCTTTGGGACCGGCACTAGCTGTCCGTCTTAGAGAGATGTCCGTCTTATAGAGAGTCAAATAGAGGGAGGAAAGAAAGGCAGGGACCAACTCCAGGTGTCCGTTTTACAGAAGTGTCCGTCTTATAGAGGTGTCCGTTAAGAGAGAGTGGACTGTATTTGTTGCGTTTTTAAGGTGACCCGAAGCTATGTTAAGCGTCTTTCTTTCCTTCTTTCTTTTAAATGGGAGCTGACGCTTTCATAAAATCGTCCCTTCCAGGCTAATAACACACTCCATACCGCCAATGACCTTTCAAAGCTTCGCACGAGTGTTTTAAACCAACAGAGCAGTAGTGATTTTTATCATCCGCCTTAGATTTTTTCTTTAAACTTTCTTTGTTTTGCAGGGTACTAAAACTGACCTGACAAAGCACCTTCAGGAAAGCACCGAGAATCACTTACAGATGGCTTTAGAAGTGATAAAGGAACAGCGAACCGAGTTAGGAATAATGCGCGGCCGCCTTCGGAAACAGGACGAAAACATAGCTCAGTTGACGGAAAGTGTCAGCAAATTGGGAGCAGTTTGTGAGGAAGCCATCAAGCATAACCAGGAACAAGAGAAAACTATAAATCGCTTGTGTGAGCAAATGAAAGAGCAAAAGAAACATCAGTCTAAATACGAAAAAGATTTTAAGAGCAGAATCGCAGATCTGGAACAACGAGGACTCGAAACGCCGCCGCAAAATGGTCTTATTTCTAATCCCGGACTCAGCAGTGGTTATGGGGAACTCGTTTGGCGGATTTCGAATTTCTCACGGAGATTGCAACGTGTTCAGTCGGGTCGTATCGACGACCCGATGACTAGTGAACCATTCTACACGTCAGCGTTTGGTTACAAGATCGTTGTCTGGGCTTACATTAATGGTAGAGGCAAAGAAGAGGGAAAGTGTTTGTCTCTTTACGCATGCGTCATGTCTGGGGAGTACGATGCAATACTCCGCTGGCCGATCAGACCGCGATACACTTTTTCTTTACTGGACCAAAATCCGGACTCTGAGTCCAGGAAAGACCTGACACGTGTACGTAAAGTTCATGACTTCAAGCGCGATGAAGTGAGAAGGAAAGGAATTGAGAGGCCTGGCCGTGATGAGAGGGCTATCATAGTGGGATTTGATGACTTTGTCAAACAGGAAGAACTCGAAGATGGAAATTTTTTAATGGATGACACACTTTTTATACGTGTTCTAGTGGACATGCCGGAATCTTACAGCTGAACTTTTCAAGATTATTAAAACATAACATGCTATTATCGATAACATGTAACCCGTATCAATTATGATCTTTAAAAACGCTCGTTTTATTACACACATATTTGGTGCAATTATGCGAGGGTGTCGTCTTACGTTTCTTGCACTTGGTACTAGTCACGTGATTCCTGCGCAAGGTAACGGTAGCATATTTCCCGTATTTGATGAAATTTGCGCGCGTAATACTATGCTTCAAATTGGAACTATTACAACGAATAGTTAGTCGCGTGTTAAGGTTGTATCCAGATATGATTATTTCCACTTTTGCTTTAAATAAAACTGAATCGAAACACTCTGCAATTTTTATAATCTTTCACGCACATTTGTTTTGCTACTTTGCCAAAATGCTTAAATGATCAACAGTCAACCTCGCAGTGAGAGAAAGAAAGTGTAAGTGTTAATCTCTTCATTTACCGGGGGGAGGGGGGGGAGGGGTGGTACTCAACAAATGTTTATACTGGGGAGGTTCGGCCCCGAGGTCCAACCCCTTCCCTTTTTACGTATCATTTTCGACGGAAAAGGCTCCTCTTTCTTATACCTTCTATTGACAAATGGTACCCCTTTCCCATACCTACTTTGGAAAACGTTTTCTCAACTTTTTTACAGACATAAAATACATCTGTTAGCCCTTTTGGGTCTTTTTACAGACCGATAAGACAATTTTCCCGACCTTTTCAAATACCAGAAACCCGAAAATGGGAGCCCTTTCGGACGGAGCCTCTCCGTATAGACCTTTAGAGAGAATGCCGAGTCGTTTGCCTCTTCATAAATTTAAGACAAGACGGCGGGCAGTCTCTCTTTTGCTGTAACATAAGTGGAAGAGGCAAAAAAAGAATACAGTCGCCCTTCTGCCGCGCACCGCTCGCATATCGCGCGCCCGCTTTTTGTCCTTCTTTTCCACCTCACGTGACCAAAGAATATCTTCGGGGATCACTTCGAAGGGGCAAATAAGAGGCTAGTTGCTTAATCATTTGATTTGTTTCCAAAGGCCCAAGAGTGCCTAGCTGCCAGTACCGTCATGGTACTGATGTTGCTCGACTTAGAACTCGTGATTTTGAAACTCGAGCAGGCGCGCCTGAAGAGTTTGAATACACTTAAATAGGCCNGAGAATGCCGAGTCGTTTGCCTCTTCATAAATTTAAGACAAGACGGCGGGCAGTCTCTCTTTTGCTGTAACATAAGTGGAAGAGGCAAAAAAAGAATACAGTCGCCCTTCTGCCGCGCACCGCTCGCATATCGCGCGCCCGCTTTTTGTCCTTCTTTTCCACCTCACGTGACCAAAGAATATCTTCGGGGATCACTTCGAAGGGGCAAATAAGAGGCTAGTTGCTTATTCATTTGATTTGTTTCCAAAGGCCCAAGAGTGCCTAGCTGCCAGTACCGTCATGGTACTGATGTTGCTCGACTTAGAACTCGTGATTTTGAAACTCGAGCAGGCGCGCCTGAAGAGTTTGAATACACTTTAATAGGCCATTTCCGTTTCCATGGGTTTTATTTGCATGACAATTGAAATCATTTCATCTCAATGAGTTTTATTTACATGCCGATTAAATATCGTGAAACCAATAGCTTCGCACATAGCCTCGCTTTGAAACAAAGGCTACGGGCAACTCGGAAATGGTCTATAAGTTTTCGGGGTGATTGCAGTTATAATTCCGTCACTCTCGCTCATCAACTCTCGTTTGCTAAGGGACCTTTAATGCAAGTCAATCGTCCCCTTTTTTTTTCCTTATGTGCGAATCAAATTGCAGGGACATTCCCAACGAAATGTTACAGGGTACAATCCTTGTGAGCTCTTAGTTTAGGAGGCGTATTTGTGATCGCGACATGTCCCACGAATACGTGCCCAGGAACGTGAGGCATAACATATGATCACAAAGGCCGTATTATAGGAAATATTGCGAGGACATGTTTTTCCCCTGCCTTCGAACACAAGGGAATTCTCTTCGTTGTCTTTACCTGGCCCAGGATATGCTTTCATCGCATAAACCTATTTTATTATATAAACACCAATGAAATACCAGGTAAGCTTACGCGCGAAAACTTGGTATCTTCACATGTGAAAATGACATGTTATCTTCACGTGTGAAAATATCACCGTTGTTATGGCTACATAATAAATAGCGCCTTTCACACCAAAAACTATTAAAGAGAAATGGTTTGGGTAGTTCATTGGTCTTTATATAATAAATAGAATATTACATGGCCGCTTGGAGATACGAAATTTCTCTTCTCGTGTTGAATATATATTTCACTCGTTCGCTGCGCTCACTCGTGAAATATTTTTCAACACTAGAAGAGAAATTTCGTATCTCCGCGCGGCCATGTATATCCTCTATGTACCATAGTACATACCAGGGCTCAACAATACATCGTTTTTTGTTCTATTCCCTCAAGCTCCGTAACCACTTATGAATTTTAATATATCGAAATTGGTATAAATATGACCTTTCGTGTTTCCCAACCTATAGCCTGCACGCAAGCTTTCAATTGAAGAAAATGAGACTGAGCGAGGCCTCAGAGGCGAGTGTCTTCAATGTCGTACCCCAAGTCTCTTTTTCTCGTACTGGTTTGACGAAACGAGCGACCGCTGGTCAAGAGTAAGGAGAATACGAGGGTGGAGTGACCTTCACAAATTCACCATTTTCACATAGACCACAATGCACCTTGTTAAGCCCCCCGCCCCCCAACCCCTGCAAATTTTGCATGAAGATATTTTTCAATTCTCCAGGGTATTACAGATCGAAGACAATGGTTATGTAAAATTTTCGGGGTAGACAAGGTGAATTATGGTCTGTGAAAATGGTGAATTGAGAGCTTGGTCTTAGGCTATTTCTAGCAAAAACAAGAGAGGCACTACACAAGTCTTCTAAAGATGGGTTTTATTTTAACTGCTGAAAAAAAAACATATAGCTTAAAACTGGCTACAAACGCTTTTCTGTTATAGCTTCTGTGACTACTGTGTGTTTCACAAAACCTACTCAGTACTACTATGATACAAACATAAAAAGAAACTTATGTATGACATGTCATTCCAGCTTATCTCAATGTTTGGTATAAATATATTCTACTTAGCCTAATTACTGCGTTGTTTAAGGTTCTTGAGCAATTCACACTGGTTGTATGTAATACGATCTACTTGGAATCGGGTAACTAAAACTGTTAAGCTGGGGACATTTTATGTCAGCGAGATGCATCCCTCAAAATTCCTTCATTTCCCTTTAATTTTTACTAACTATTAAAATAAATTTTATTTTATTAATAAAATAAAATTTTTCATTCATTTAGTGCATAGGAGAAATTCAAAACGGTAATGTACTTTAGAAACCTTAAGTGTTTGTTACAATTACTCTTAATTCGAAGCGATTTTTTGACGTCTCAGCCGAGGGCTTGCACCCTTGGAAGAATCCCACCCTTTTCCCATTAGAACTTTAAAACCATTAGCTTTGATTGAATATATTTCGATTACCAAATTAAATGTTTATGTACAATATTACAATTTACAGGATTACTGTTTTCATAGAAATCAAAAGCCCCTTATAACAGGCCATTTCCGAGTTCCAAAAACTCTCACTTCCAAAACGAGGCTACGTGCAAAACCTTTCTTGTGAAAATGAGTTTTATTTGCATGAGAATAAATCATTTCCATATCAATGCTTTCGCACTTAGCCTCGCTTTGAAACAGAGGCTTGCAGCAACTCGTAAACGGCCTATTCCAATCCCATGAGACATCGCGTTGAACCAAATGGCGCCTGCGCCATCACATAACTGACAGAAAAGCACAAAACTCTCGCCATCCGTTACTGTCACGCACAGCTTCTCTGATGTGTAACAACGTGGGTTACAATAACGGCTCAGACAGATAATACGCGGCTAAGGGTTTGTTCATACACGCGTCATCAACCACCCAGGCTCAGTTACTGCAGCTATTTTTAGCGTAAGAATGTTCATGTGTTTGTACGACTGCTGTCCATATACACGTAACTTAGGTTCTCGGTGAGTGCGTTGGAATGTTCCCATATGAACGAGTTTTTTTTTTTTTGAAGTTAAAAGTTAAGAGAGTCATCAAATTTTGCCACACAAATGGACGACAAAATTCATCCCAAATCTAAGCCTGGTTAAAATTAAAAAATTCGCAGTGGTGTTAACAGAAGATACTCACCATCTTTGCAAGCGCTTTAGTTTCGATGCGATAGAAGCAATGTCACGTGGTACTTCGGGGGGGGGGGGGGGTAAACAAGTGATCAAATTTGAAAATATGAGTAATCGCGGTCGAGTTTGTTAATTCTATCAAAACTGTGCCAAGATTTAATAGTCAGGCAAAATGCACAGTTCGAGTTTCCACAAGTTTTACACATTTACGGTCGCTATACTGCTTCCAAAAAAAGTAACAATGATTGCTTCCACTTATAATTTGCCATTACCATCTTCAAGATGAAAAGTTCATTTTCTGTTGTCTAGAATAAGCAAACTCGACCACGATTTTTTGCATTGGCAATTTTTTTCACTTGTTTGCCCCCTGAGAAACCAAGTGACATTACTTATCCCATCAGTCCTTAAGCGCGTACAAAGATGGCGGGTATCGTGAATGAGGTCTACTCACGCTGGAAAAGGGGCTAGAGTAAGTTTGACGAAGATCTTCGAAATAATCGATAGTGAATCAATCTCTGGGATCGCTGGGGGAAAGTAGGAAAAGACATTTATCTTCATATTTCCAAGAAAGAAGGCAGACCCAAGGCTTAACCCGTTCAGCCCCAAAATCGACATACAAATTCTCTAGACTTATCTCCATACATTTCCTTAAAGAATAAGCTAGGAGAATTTGTTTAACGATCAAAGCAATGTACCTTAGTTGATCATTTCATTAATAGTCATAATCTTTCTCTTGATTATCAACATGTATTGATGGTGTTTGTCAAGAGACATTGATGCTCGTCACTCAATCTTAAGACAAAGCCGGTTAAACCTCGTGTCCTAAGTTAATCTCTGAGGCGTTGCTCGGTAACTGTACACATTGGTATATACGATTTACTTCAGGTAACATGGAACGTAGTGTCCTATCTCTCTATTTCATGCTGACGTAACTTGGCTCTTGTGGGACGCCGTCTCTTGACAGGTTGCCTGGCGCGGTTCTTGGTTAAATGATGTAACTGAATGGGAGTTGCTACAACAAAGAAGTAATAAGAACATAAGAATCCGTTTGCTAGTGGAACCTCTTACACTTTCCTATGCTTGTCACTACAACCAGCTGCAAAAAGGCTCAGGACACAGTCCCTTATAAGGCCGAAAATGGTGTTTCGCAGACTTCGAGCCTGCGTGGCAGGCGCAAAAAGGGGAGGGGAGGGGGAGAATTCCCCTACCTATTTCCCTTTCTCTTAATCCCCCACCCCTTTCGACGCATGCTGCGCAGGCTACAGAATACGAGATTTATGGCGACTGCGACCACATGACAGTATTATAATTATCATTGTTATTAACCTCCTGTAACAAACCGATTGATTCATGGCCCGATATTTATGTTCGCTCTCTTGTACTACGCTACTAGGAATATACGGAGAAATTTTAATGAGAACATGGAACTACACATATCGTCAACTGCAAGCAATAATTTTTTTTTTTGCAAAAAATTAGATGTCCCGGGACCTCTTCCCGGAGGAGACCACCTGTTGGTCGATTCTCGTAAGCGACCACAAACTCGTCGCATTTCTGGTGGTCGCTTAAAAGAAGTTTCACTGTGTTTTGATAAATAAGCTCTTGTTTACATTTCAAACCTGTGTAACTAACTACTGACTTACCAGGGAGGTCAAAGGTGACGGCGTACTCCTCCCTTAGTTCCTCTTCATAACCTGCGTCCAAATCATCATCAGTTTGACAGTCATCGCTTGCCAAATCCTCTTCGCTGTCTGCTCTTCTCGGGTTACCAGGCCCTAAACTGGTCAGTTTGGCTGTTAAAAGAGCTCTGAAAGGAATAAGTGAAAGTGATAAGCGATTGAGTAGCTGTAGCGAGGAGTTGACATAACAACGAGAGCTTTTAGAAACAAAAATCTGCCGGCTAGTATTGAAACCGGCCTTCATCACTCTTAGTGGAGATTGTTCTTACTGATGATGTAAAAATGATAGCACATGATGCTGGAGCTGAAAAGTCAGCTATCTCAAAGGTCTACAAATCTCTGACGCGCGTTTTAATGCCCGCGATAAATACGCGTATTATTATTTTTTTTTGTAAGATTCTTTTTTAAAGAAATTATATTCTGGTCACTAATAGGGCTTACATGGTAATCTAGGATTTATCCATATAGTAAATTACTTCAAAATTTGATTTTCGAAAATCTCAAATTATTTCTTCAAAAAATAACTTGAGAATCTTGAAAGAGCGGTGCATCGAGTCCGTTTAAGTGGCTTTGGCCAAAATATGGTTCCACAAGCCGAGTTTGACTAACCATGTTACTGTCGATAAGTACTACGAACGTTTTAGGACACGATTAATTTCTACCCTAGAGAAAAAAAAAAGTTGCAGAAATTATTACCACGCACAATCCCATAGAACAATACTCTTCTACACTAAAGAAGCCCAAAGATAAGAAATTCACTATGGGAGTGAAAGTGTGAAGAGGTATTTAAAGATGGCTGGAATAAAGCTGAGCGAAATACCAACCTTTGTTCCCGTAATTCATACAGTTGTTGTCTGAGAAGCATTTTTTCGTTTACTTCGCCTTCTAAGTCGTTTTCCACCAATCCTTCGTCCTGTAACACAAAAAGACACATTTATATGAGTTGCCGCTGGCTTATGCGTGTCGTCAACACAACACAATATAAGTAACGCGCCATAGAGCCTTTTTGGGAACCATATCGCATGCTACAACTTGTACCCTATGGAGTTTTTTCACCCAGGTGGCCAGCATCTATGCAAATTTATTGGAACAAAGGCAAATCTTTATATAAGAAGAACGTTAATTTCTCACAGAATTGGTTTGGGGCACCAACATAGCTGTCGTTTCATTAAAAAAAACTGACTTTATAGGGGAAACGCAATTACTGGTAAACAAGTCGTTTTCATTATGGTGGCCAAAGGCAAACCAGTTGGCCATTTACGAGCATGACCGAGGAGCTGAACTCGAGACTACCGAGAACAAATCCAGCTCGCGGTTAGTGCGGGCATTGAACCCCGGGCCTCCAGATTACAAGGCCATCCTCCTCATTGTTTTGGGATACCTATATATATGGATGACGTGGCGTCTTGTGAAACCGTTCCACAATGGGCCTTACGCCTCTGCGCCACGCCTCGTGCGATTATCGCCTCAACTCGACCATAATCGCCCGAAAAACTAGGGGACGATGAACGACCTATAAACGGTGTGTAAAAGATACAGCCGACATCGACTGAGCTGGATATCGGACCAGACATAATGGACTTACCTCTTCGTTGAGGTTCAACGTCGACAAGCGCTGGTGAGCTGAGTCCGTTGCCTTGTCAAGTTCTCGAATGCTGTGCAGAGTTGTTCGGATCTTGGATAACTGACCGAGAATCAGGGTTTCGAAACATCTAACAACAACAACAACAACAACAACAACAAAACTTAGCTTTAGCTGACAAAACAAGAAGACAGTTTAAAAAAACCCACACTCGAAAAAGCCATGAAAACCAATATTACTAAAATGAAAGAATTTGCGCTCTTCTAAACTTTCCAAATGAAGAAATTTGTGGCCTAGGAATCCGGGGGATTTTGCGGTATGTAACATAGTAAACTAGTTCAAACTAGAGACAATATCTACACTGAAAAAAGATACTATTTTGCTGCCATTGAAAATTTACTCGCCTCGCACAAAGAGTTTAGAGTTGTTTACTAGTTTAGTTGATGACTACAAAATATTTATCGACAGATGTCGCGACCTTTTGCCTTGTTGGCATTTAGCGATCTTATAATGCGCATAAATATCGATTAAAATACAATATATTTGTCGACAACTCTATCGTCGATCGGTTCCCTTGGACTTGTCAGTATTTAGCATCACCAACTCAATGAAAGCATTACTCACTTGGTTTGTTTGGCCACATCTTGCATGCTCTCCAGCGCACTCATACCAGGGGGCGTTCCCATGAGACATTGTGCCCAGATTATAGACAGCGCATTAGCATTCATTAGATTTTCATCCTGATGTTGAGATATTCTACAGACCAAAAAATATCACAAGTTTGATAATTCTAGTGTTTAAGTGTTTGGGCACCAACCCAGTTACCTTAATCCCCAAGTAATAGACGAAGCTGATGAATTTGATAAGAGTTTATCACTTTTTAGGCTTCATCAATCATTACCAAATGCATAAGAAAACGAACCGACAGGGTCTATTGTTTGTACTATGGCTTGCAATCTGTCCTTACTCAGGTCAACGTTAGCCTGCGAGCAAGCTCTCCATTTGGGGGAGTCGCGAGATGTCACGTGAGAGCAGCACGCGAAAGGAGACACGAGTACGGGAGTGCTTGGCCGCTTGCTCGCGCGTTCTCTCGCAGCTACGTCAATGAAGCAAATGCACGCAAATAGCAAACGACAACTGTTTGATTCTTGTTTCGAACCTTAGCTCCTCGTTGTCTGGGTTGTACGTCTCAGGGGCACTCAACGACCTAAATACATTGAAATCACTTTTTAGGCTATCCAGAGTACCCTTAGATCTCTAGAAATACATTCTAAGCGGCGCTATAAAACATCCAAGGGGAAAGTGAGTCTTTTCGAAATTACAAGGGCTTCAGTATTATTTCCCGACAATGTTAAATGGAATTTGACATATTGCGAAAGTGAGAATTTTTCTGATTCCTCTCTCCATCACATTTTTGAATCCGAAAGTTTTAGGCAACCTTTTTCGTACGAAAAATAGCCTGACCTGGGCGGCGAAATGTGAATACCTAAACTTCACAAAATCGTAGGGAATTTATTAAATAAGCTTCGAAAATTGTACTACATGAATGGAACGGTCATCTAGAAACTTTTAGCCGTTTTCAAGTAGTAGAAAATTCTAGCTAATATTTGTTTCTCCGAACAGATATTTCACAGAAAACAGTCGTTGGGTGCCCCTGATGTCTGATTCAATGTCTGATTAATTTCTCACCTTGAAAGATGAAAGACCAATCTTTCCAGTGTGTTTTTGCTTGCCTTGGGTAGTTTCTGAATCAAGCTGTACAGAGCCTGAAGTCGTAACTTTTCTTCACTCAGATCTGAGAATAAATATTTAACGGTTTAGGTGTAAGCGATTCAAGTGGTAAAATCGTTGCACCAGGAAAACTGAACTCAACACCTTATTTTTCCTTCAAAAATTACTTAAGTAAACATAGACATCGTAAGAATTTAGAAATTAGCAAGATAAAACGACTTCTCCTGCATCCGAAGAAACCTCTTCGACAGTACTTAGCATGCCACTAAAAATTAGTTTATGCAGCTTGGTTGTCCCAGCTCATGAATCTTGACTTTGAGGGCTCTTCAGAATAGAAGGGCTAAGCTTCCTACAATCAACTCTAAACTTTGTCTTTGATACAACTTCACAGCTGCTCATACGTTCATTACTTAATCTTCATCCCTCACGAGTTGAGTAATGAACCGACTGAAGGACCAGCTTCCGGTTGGCTTGATAGCCGCTCAATTGGTAAAGCGCTTCACTGGAAACGTAGACATCAAAGGTTCGAATTTGCTTTCCTATTGCTACCGCAAAAGTTGCGTCTTTAACTGTAATGATCTTCTTTATATTCAATTCCTTACCCAACAGTTCTAATATAAGATTTTCATTATTTTAACCTTTAAAACAACGCAGATTACGAAGAGAAAAGAAGCAACAATAAATAGTTACTTTTTTGTACTCACCGGCGGTGCGTATGAAATCCATATAGAAATCTGACGTGATGACAGGAACAGACAACTGTCGGAAGAACAGTTTTAAAACTCCTGCAACCACGTGCACTGTATACTCCTCTAAATTAACATGGTCAATACCTGAAAGCGCACGAGACAACGCCGGTTAAAAAAATCCCCATGAACAGATGCTGGTGGAAGCAAGGCTGGGATCAAGTTTGTTTAGCCACAGTCCTTCCTCTGAGAAAACAGGCGACATTTCGCGACGCAATCACTGGTTTCCCTGAGAAATGATGTCTAAGGAACAAATGAAGAAATTCCATACTGACGAAGTATCGCTACCCAGATTCTGATTGGTCGTGTTGCGTGAGAAATTTGCTTCAACCAATCAGAAGCACAACCCAGATCAGGGTAGTGACACGTCATCAGTATGGAATTTCTTTACTCGTTTCTCAAACGTCATTTTCGCGGAGAAACCAGTGATGACGTCGCGAAAATGTCGGCTGTTTTCTCACGGGGGGTATTCTCCGTGTCATTGTAAGGTTGTTTTTGTTATCAATTAACCCTTCCACTCCCAAGATCTGATTTTCTTTACACGGATTGTCCGTTAAGAAGAGCTTTGACTTAATTGTCTTCGGCTAAGCTCGGCAAACTCGAAAAACAATCAATGAAGACACTCACCTAACGTACAGATATCGTTTTTAAGCTTTTTTACCGCGACATTACTGGGAGATTTTCTGTAAAGACCTTCAGTGTATAGACCTGTAAAATCAAAAATAAATCATTATGTAATTACGTCAATAGATAAATAAATAAGAGAGTGAATTATTAAATCTTTAACTCAATCAGTGACATCAGTCATCACAAATGTTTATTTATGGTAAACCGTTCCGTGCGCTAAGATTTGCTGTGAACATAAGAGGGACATAAATGTTTAAAAAGGGCAAAGCAACGTAAAGCAGCAAACTTTGTGGAAGTCGGTCAGTTATCAAAGTTGACAATGTGGGTGTAAGTATAAAAAAAAATCTTCCTAGCTTAAGACATGAATAAGTCGGGCACTTTAAACACACTCTAGCTACGAGCCAGTTAATTAATAAACCCCATAAAACAAAATGACAAGCTCAAAGCCCTTAACACTGAACAAACCGAAACAGCAATTGCGAGACTGGGTTGGATTGGACCTATAGGGTCTTGAAACAGAATGTCCCCAGCAAGATGCTAATACCTCGGTAAGACTAAAGATTCTTTCTTTGACAATTTGGAGGTTTACACGGACATCATCACGGTTTGCGCGCGCTGCGTGTAAGATTGTTAATCCCAAATTAATTTTAGGGCCTCTTCACCTCGGGCTCCCGGTCGTGTTGGTGAAACTGCGTGTAATGATGATCCTGACACCTATACCGACGGGGATTTACCCCTGGGAGGTCCAACCATGAAAGGCCGAGTGTGAGAGGCCAGACAAAGAACATCCCTCGGGGTTTCCGCGACGTGCCGTCAATCACCCCCCACTATAAAACATTTAAGGACTGAGAAAACAAGAAATTACTTTACAGTTGGAGAGGGATGATTGTCTGTCTTGTTCCCCACCTACGAACAAGAAAGGAAAGACGATGATTCTAAGAACTTACCTCTTTTTTCAATGTCTTTGATGAGCTTGTCAACTAAAGGTGGAACCAGGTTTTCGTTTGAGACAAGACAAGATAGATCACCACCAAAAAGTTCCGTCTGAAAACAACAAAAATATCCGTGTTCGTTACAAGCTGGCCAAGAAAGCAACACAGTAAACAACACACACGCCAAGTGACTGTTCATTTACACATTGCAGAAGACATCAAACTTGGTAAGATTATCAGTGACACTCGCCCTTGGCCCCCGTGCCACTTTCGCTTTTCTTAACATATTACGACGTCATGTCATCTATAACTAGAGACATGCGATTCCTGGCATCATTCTGTACGCATAACCACAGTCTGTCCTTGTTAAAAGTCCGAGTCATGAATAGAAAATTAAGTATGAACAAGAGCTTGCAGATAGCCTCATTACTAATCACTGCTTCAATCTATCGAAAGGCATCAAACACTTCCATCTAGATACTAATGCACGACAATCCAGCGCCTTTACGTATTAACATAGAATGGGAATTTTCATACTTTTCCTTTTGATTTGTTTGTTCCCTTTCGGCAAATGTTTTGAGATTTGGCGTGACACTTCTTGTGGCAGGTAAATCTACATTCTGCAAAGAAAGATAAAATTTCAAAACAGTTAAATTATACGATCAATGATGCAAGAGAACACAAAAACGAGTAAATGAACAAAATTGAGATTAAAACGGAATAGCAGGAATTTCATTATGTCAGCATGCTGAGAGCCAGTAGTAAACTTTGTTTTGTTGTTACAAATGCGGGGCTCGAAGAAAATTCCATCCCGGTCGTCCGGGACGAGTAGGTTTTCTTGTTGGGCATTAACTAACTCTTTGTTTCAAGCGATTTATTGCATAAATCAGCTCTATTTGTGAAAAATAAGCATGATAAACAAAAAACAAGAATTCACAAGCGAAAAAGCACATATAAAAAAACCAAAGGGAGGGTCCGAGTCCTTGAAGACTAACTTAGGGCCAAGTTCCCANAATTTTCATACTTTTCCTTTTGATTTGTTTGTTCCCTTTCGGCAAATGTTTTGAGATTTGGCGTGACACTTCTTGTGGCAGGTAAATCTACATTCTGCAAAGAAAGATAAAATTTCAAAACAGTTAAATTATACGATCAATGATGCAAGAGAACACAAAAACGAGTAAATGAACAAAATTGAGATTAAAACGGAATAGCAGGAATTTCATTATGTCAGCATGCTGAGAGCCAGTAGTAAACTTTGTTTTGTTGTTACAAATGCGGGGCTCGAAGAAAATTCCATCCCGGTCGTCCGGGACGAGTAGGTTTTCTTGTTGGGCATTAACTAACTCTTTGTTTCAAGCGATTTATTGCATAAATCAGCTCTATTTGTGAAAAATAAGCATGATAAACAAAAAACAAGAATTCACAAGCGAAAAAGCACATATAAAAAAACCAAAGGGAGGGTCCGAGTCCTTGAAGACTAACTTAGGGTCAAGTTCCCACACGTCCGTAAACTTAGAGCCTAATGCCCAGGCGTCCGAACAATCTAACAATGTAAAAGAAAATAAACTTTCGGTTCGGGACACTCTTAAAGCCCACTTGCCCTATGGGCAAGGATCCAGCAAGTCATCCTCCAACTAAATCATTGCCTAAGACAAGCAAGTAGTTGCCCTGGGCAAGCAGCGAGGGCCGCTCGGCTAAAGGGCGCGCTGGAATTCAAGTTTTTTCGAGCGCTGTGTTATTGTTTTTGTTGTTGTTCTTGTTGTTTCTCATTGTTGATGTTGCTCTATTCACTCTCAAAAAAATATTACATCTCTGAAGGAATTTCTTTACCTTGGCAAACGAATCCTTTCTCAAGACCCCAGATGAACCCTCCACAATGCTCACAAAACGTTGGGATACTAAACTGAGTGGTAGAGAACTGGTGTCCATTAAATTCCTGAAAATAAACACAGGATATTTCAGTATGAAAAGTGCTTTACGCTCGCACTGACTGCATAGTTGAGGGTTAAATCGCAAAAATTGAGTAACTACAAGCAATCGTTTCACCCTACAAGAAGGATCACCTGACGCTCTTTACACTAATACAGTCAACCAAATGAACGTACTGCTGGAGAGGTTTTATTTGACTGGTAACACCACAGGGGTTTTTCCAAAGATTTAAAAGTTAGAGTGGCAAATCATTCGCTGTAACTTGGTTTAGAAAACAAGATATAGAAAATACCGAAATATCCCATGAGCATATACGCTTCTCTGATCAATTCGTTCTATTTCTCTCAATCGCCGAAAATGATATTTTTCGACACCCCTTTATAATCTGAACCAAAACTGACATCCCTTACTCAAACTAACTCTAGAATTTAACGTTTACTGAACGCCATTTCCGACATTGCTTATTGCGAATCCTCGCATATCACAACCAACTTAATATACATTAATATGAAATGGTTATATTGGGGCCTATATTATATTAAAAAGACATAAGGTGAACATGACCTTCGCAATACAATGAACAACCAAACTGGTTGAAAAAAATTCAGGAATGACCAGGAATCGAGCCCTGTCCTTTGCGATGACCGGATAGAGCGATGCGGCCTGTCACCGAAAAAAGTCAGGGTTCGAGTCCCAGTCAAGCCTGAATTTTTTTCAACCGCTTAGGTTGGTCATTCTACTGCGAAGGTCATGTTCAGTTTCATAAAATTTGAACTCTTCAAATTCCATGACATTTCATGATTTTTCCGTGTCCTTGCTAAGTTTTCTATGGCCCTAGGGTTAGTTTTAACTTTCCTTTAAGTTGTTTTAAGGTATTTTTGACCTAACTCAGTTCGAGAAACAAAAAATTCTGGTGTCCACCAAAATGCTACCGTTCACGCTGTTTAATTACTCGTCTGTAATTTACATTGGCCTATCAGCAGTAGCTAATCTACCAAATATAACTTCAATTTTCCATGACTTTCCGGGACAAACAATTAAATTCCATGACCGTTTACAGGCTTGGAAACTGAAACTTTTAAATTTCATGACTTTCGAGGTTTTTCATGAATATTAACTGCTTTGACCACTAAAACAAAGAATTAAATGAAATTTATTCATGTTCCTTTTTTCAACTGAAAACGTGCTCGGCCTTAAATATGTCGCCAAACGAGAAAAAAACTAAGTTATTGGAAGGTGTTAATTCATCCGGACTGAAAAACAAATAGTCCACTGAAAGAGTAGTATAAACAACGTTTTGCTTTACAAGAAAGATAAAAAAAATAGACGTTGCAATTCAAAATTAAACTAGCTGCAAAAATAATCTCTGTGTTTCTTTACGAAAACATATTTTTTTCTCCAAGGACATCATCATTGCTACAATCTAATCTAGAAATTTGTGACAAATGTAGCTTCAGTCACACAAATCACCCTTTCGCCACAATATTACAACGCAAAGATGGAATATGCCAACACTGAAAAAAAATCCGGATGAAAGACTTAGTTTTCAGCTTTAACTTACAAACGGAAACTAGGCGAAGGCAGAAAAATCTTCACATCCAATTTAAGGGAGATTCCACTTCAAGCGTTTGAAACACAGTTCGAAAGAGAGGATCCCGCAAAACATGAGACAATTAGCAAGTTCAAGAGATAACGATACAGTATCTGATAAGAAAAGCCTTTATAACTACGCAATTGAAATTCTTGAAAACATAATTAGGAAAGAGAAAGGCAATTAATGAGGCAGGCCGCCTTTTACATAACATAGCTATTTTGTAACGGGCATACCATGGGCGCGCCTATACTCGACGTTCGACTCCTCATGCCGATAGTAGACCATCTCCTGATTTTGTGGCCGGTGGTAACGTTCACAGAAGCTTTCGCAGATGAGCAAGCCATGATAAAAACACGTCGCAAAAGAAAGAGAATTACAAACTTTACCTTCACTCGGTACTGCCGTGCCGCCCGTTGACGTCACAATTTCAATTCAAGAATTTTAATTGGTTATTATGAAAACTTTCCTAATGTATGCGAAACGATTTCATCCTTATATTTCGCAGCTTTTAAATTTAAATAAAAAGCTAAAAGAGATAATTACAAGGGTAGAATTTTAATGCAATTTTCGTGTTCTTTCATGTTGGGTGCCGCTTTTTAATTTGTCGTTGTTGTTTTTATTTCGTGCACTAACTATCGGCAATGGAAAACTGAACGGACCTGTGGGTTGATCTACTTAGGCACTGAGTTACTGACTTTCTTCGGTAGAAATAACGAAAATAAGTAGCAAAGCAATAGACAAAAGGTGGTTCAGTGTTGTATTCAGTCTGTTGTAATCTAGACTGCCTTGCAGCCACAGAAATAAGAGAGGACGCAAAAACTATGGAGTAAGATCTTGGCGGGGATCGTACGCCATAGAAAATCGCCCCTCGCGAGAACGACTCGGCACAAGAGACTCGACATTTCATGCAATCGCGCGTCTCACGCGCTCTACCAGGGACTTTACGATCCCACGACGAGATGGCAACGAGAACGTCAAAAACCAACAACAAAACAATAGGTTTAGAAGGCAAAACAAAAACTTTGCGAGTGCATCATACTTTTTTGTACATTTCTTTGCCTTTTTTGCACGACTACGACGTGAAGTTTGCTTAATTTAACATTTCATGGAGGACGTAAACAAGCGACGACGAAATCTGAACTTGGTAAGGGATCCTAGGAATTCAACTCCAGGAGGGTTCGCCTACTTTTGATAAAGTAAATGGGTAGGAATAATCGCGATAGGACTGCAAGAACGTAAATTCACCTTTTGAGCCACCTTTTCGCTGCCATCGAGTCTTCGGATTGTTAAGTCCCTACTACTACTAAGAAGCCGCTTGTCCAGTTAGTTCCACGGCCTATACCTTAAAGTTAAACTCTGGAGTTTAAAGAAGAGGACATTTTTATACTTACCGTTAGTTCCGAGGACTTTCGCTTCTTTACATGTTGTTTTTTGTGGTGCTTTTGAAAAAAAAGAAAGAAAGATAAAAAGTAAATAAGTAACCTATCCGTCTTGCAAAGTTGTCCCTGAAGGAAGAGTTAACTGTGTTATTATTCAATCAGCGGTCATTTACTTACCTTGGGTTGTTTGTGTGGCGCATTTGTTCTGCAAAAATTAAATAAATATAAAAATATATATATAAATAAATGATATGCAAGAAAAACAAGGAAAAGAGACAACTTTATTGTGCCTCGAAAATGAAGTTCTTTTGGAAATAATCACCCCACACACTTCATGGTTAAAGTACAAACTGTAAATGGTTTGAATCCACGAGTAATTTCATAGTCCTGAATAGGACTGTTGTTGTTGACAGTGGCTGACATTTCGAAACGCTGTGCGGTGTTCATCTTCAGAGTCAAAGTACAGTTATACTAATTAAAGTGACCTCCCTGTACAGCTTTCCAAAAGGAGACCACAGGGAAGGCAATGCTCCATTCATAAGGGAGAAAAGTCTCAAAAAGTCGCTGCCTCATCCGCAACTTACAACTTGGTGGTGAAGAAATCCGAACATCTTAGATACGTTTTCCATTACGTTTAAAAAAACTATGTGATTCAAAAAGACGTGTTTTATGTGCAGTAATTTAAGCCCTTAAGCCCTATTCACACCAAAGCTTAAAAGCTATTTAGTTAAACACGGTTTAAAATAGTTTCCTTCATAAAAACTGCTTCCTGACTTAAATTGATTGCAAATTTAGTGCAAATTACAAAACATGTTGAATTTCATTTGAATACTGTGTGAAAACCTGCGTTCCTGTTTTTCCTTGACTGTTTTCATTTCTTAAACCTGGTTTAATCAAACATGTTTAGTTGGTGTGAATGGGACATAAATAGTCACCTTGAGATAAACTCAGACAGCACTCCAGCAAACGCGTTCACACCCATAATGACAGGAAAACTATCAATAATCCGTTCGCTTTTGATTATTTTATTCAGTGTGAACTCAAACTGTCCCATCAAATCCTCGTACTTTAGGGTAAACGTCTTGTCCTCCTGTTCGCAAAATAAAAATCGAATACAACATTGTTTAGTTTTTGATCTGTTTCGATAATTCCGACTGATTAACAGTTCAGTGTTAGAACAAACTCGCGCTTATCTATGCTTCAGCCGTTTGCATTACCATAGAACAAAAGAAACGTTCTTTGACATCAATTCCTTAAAGAACAAACCACACTTGGATTGCAATGAGAACGATAAAGTTTCGTATGAATATCGTTCACACCGATATCTGGATCTGGTTCTCAATTGTGCGTTCCATTCATTTAATTTTTCTCAGATCAATAGTACGTGATCATTCAAGGTCATAATACAAACAACCACATCATGCCATTTGTAGAAAGACTTCGGGGTATTAAACAAACGGGTCGTTCGTTTTGTGCGTTGTGTTTCCAGCTGCAAAGACAATCCAATCATTGAGAAATATTTTTAAAACTTATTTGAAAGAATCTTGATCCGATTGAAATCAAAGCAACGATAATAGAATTGTCTAAAACATCTCGACCCATTTCTAAGCCAGTCGATGAAAAAACGAACAAGTTGTTAGCCTGTGTAGCCAGCAGGATTGTTAGCACGAGCAAAGTTTTGGCAAAGGAGCAGCGACGCCGTGGGGAGAATGGGAAGGAGACGCTGTGGTATTTCTCGCGCCTTCACGGCTGGCTTCTCCCCAAAACTCTCGCACGCGCAAAAACAGTTCCGCCAGCTGTGCAGGCTTTGAGAAGGTGGAAAGGTAGGATGTCTACATCTGCAGTGATTGCCGTAACAAATTAATTGGTTTTCGACGATTGGATAATGATAATGATAATGATAACACCTTTGACATCATGCACTGGCCATGTGATGCTTACCTTCATTAGAACTGAGTATGACGAGATAAGCTGCATGTGGAATTCCTGGAGAGCTTTTCGGAAAACTCGATCAACTATGGTGTCCCTCTTATTTTCCTTCTGGTTTAACATGGAGACCTGAAAGACAAAGTACATTTAAAAATTATCAGTGACTCTAACACTAACAGGAACCTGCTTCAGGACATACATACATACATACATACATACATACATACATACTTTGTTTGTCATGTAGGTCAGTAAAAAAAGGGCAGCTAAAGAGCTGATGTGGACCTACAAACTAAAAAGTATCTACAAAAAAGTAACTAATAATATTAACAAACCAATGAATTATTTACAATGAGTAAAGAAAAATAAAAAAAGTACTTAGCAAGATAAACAACAGTTAATTGACTGTTGCCTTAATATATATAATTTACAATATCTTTATTTATTCCCTGTAACCCATTAAATGTTATTTTATCTAAAATGTCAGATTTTTCTTTAAGAGCAGATTTAAAAGAACCAATATTGGGTTTGCTCTTTAAGTACATGGGTAAGTTATTCCATAGAATAGACGCACGATGAGAGAAGGAAGATCGAAGGATGTCACTTTTAGGGCAACGCACGTATAGTTTCAGACTGTCCCTGAGATTTCTTAATGGAGAATGTTTAATAAATAGAGAATTTATACCAGCCGGAGCCCTGTTATAAAATGCTTGATAAGATATGGTTGCAATCCTCTTTTTGTACATGTATGATACAGACTTCCATTTTGTCGCTGCCAGGACCTCAGTGCTAAGAGTAGAATTCTTTATGTTAAAAATAAATCTCGCTGCTCCGATGTGAATGTCCTCCAGGGTCTGAAGAGATTTTGAAGATCCCCATAATGCAATTGAATACGTAATACTTGGAATGATACCTTTGAAATAAATTGACTCTAAGATGCGACTGTCGAGACCTTTTAAGTGTTTCAGTTTCTTCACTCTTGCTGAAAAACGTTTGCTCAAGGATTTGATATGTGGCGACCAGGAGAGTTTATTGTCGATTTGAATCCCTAAACATTTAGATTTAGAAACAAAGGACAACTCCTTTTGCCCTAAACATATTTTCTGTAAGGGCCCGATGAATTGTGATTTAGATAACAACATCAATTCGGTTTTTGCAGGATGAATAGTCATGAAGTTATCCTTAGCCCATTTGTTTAAGTCGGCGATCGCCTCCTGAATTTTAGATAAGACTTCATCAACAGTATTTCCAATACAAAAAACTGTGGTATCATCCGCAAACATTTCAACAGAAGCATTCGTTGTGGCTTCAGGTAAATCATTCGAGTAAATACTGTAAAATCTGGGACCGAGTAAAGACCCCTGAGGCACACCAGTATCTATTTCCAACAATTCTGAGTTAGAACCATTTACAGTTACAAATTGTTTACGATTTTCGAGGTAATTTAGGAGCCAATCGTAAAAGGAGCCACTAATGCCTATAGAGTGTAATTTATCCATGTGAACTGTATGGTTGACGCAATCAAACGCTTCATAAAAGTTTCATAAAAGAGTTGGACAGCATTGTTAAGATTTTTTTTTTTTGACCTAATAGAAGACGTATTGCGAGTTTATTGAAAGGCTTCAAAAACGCTCATGTAGATCCAGTCATTTTTTCAAACAATCCTTGGGACTGGAAAATCAGAACCAAATACATCAAAATAAAGAGAGGACACACTAATCACCACTTTTGCGTTACCAATAATATACCCAGCCTCCTTCCCCGAAAAAACGAAAGAAAAAAAAGAGAGAGAGAGAAATATTGGGACGACGATAATACCAAGGGAGTTTAGTATAATCTTTACAAGTTATTAATGAGGTTTGGAATCAAAAACCGCTTCATACACAAGTTAACCCAGTACTTGTACTACAATACGTACCTTATTCATTAAAAACGCCTCCAATTCACCAAGGTCGTCATTTCCCTTTACGAATTTCTTGCCCGTATTTTTCCATTGCACAGGTCCTGAAGTGAGAGTACAACTAACTATTTTGGTCTGTTTCAATGCCTTCGCCAGGTCTATAAACAAGACAAGAAGACATAGAGTGGTTTAGCTGCTGTCTTAGTCAGGACAGTCCTTTTTAAAACTTTCCGTGTTTCTATGAGCAGACTAGCCATTGAGTAACATTCCTACCCAACTTGAACTAAACCGAACAAATCGTTTGTATAGGAACAATCTTCAACTCAGAACGATTTCAGGCGCGGGCATAAGATACAAAATTGCACATAAAAACACACGCAACTTCCCAGTCCCACCCTGAAAACGTTTATCATTGCGTGTCTCCCTCGCGCCCCCGCCTTTCCCGCCTATTACTTCCTAGCGCCTACTACGCAGGTTAAAAAACGTTTTGTTCCACTGTTTTTATCCAAAGGAAACAATAACATGACTACAGCTGCTTTTCGTTTTACGTGAAATGAAAGAATGCCGTAGTCAAGCACGGCCCGTGTAGTCAAGCACGTAGTGTTACGCGAACCACACAAAAATGGCTACACGGATTTCAAACTTGGAAGCGACAGAAAACATGACATTTTAACAACATTCACGTGTATTTAAAAGTTTTATTTTTTTTTGTTTATTCTTAATCCTTACCATCATGCGAAGTACTTCCTACAGACAAATCAGCGGATTTCTTCCCCGTGATTTTGTGTAAATTAGAATCGGACCGCCTTCTCAAAGAGTTGCTTCGCCCAATTTTGCTGAACAGTCCTTTCTTTACTTTCCCGCCATACTCGGATCGATGTAAGGTGCTAGGCATTGACTTCACCCCAGTTGGCAAAAACTCCATGTCATCCATGGCTGATCGATGTGACCTGGTTATTCTGTCGTCCAAAACGTCTGAAGTGCTATGCCGCTGACCAGATTTACCTTTGGATGACAGACGCCTTCGGATACTGCTAGTAAGCTTTCGTGAAAAATTCGGAGCTTTGAGTTCGTTCGACAAATCCTCTACTGACTTTGAATTGGGCGCAGTGGGAGAGGGAATAGGGCTCAAGTCGCTGTAGGCGTTTCTCAGGGGTGGTTTGGATGGCGTAATTTCAATGGGTGGAGGAATAGAGCGACGTTTGTTTTCTGGGCTGTTTGGACACGAAGATGACCTTTGGCGACCCAACTGGTAATGGAGAAAGCAAAAACAACAAATTCATTGCAACACCTTTGCAAGGAATGCGAGAATTATCCGCTCATTTAAAAGTTCAGTGAGGTTGGTGGTTTGGTCACCGTTGGACTTAAGTTTCGTACATTATAAAACAAAACGACACTCGCGTGTCCAAGACTTCCAAAAACGTAAGCAGGGTCGGGATGTCAAGAAGTGGGAAAGCATCATCCACCGGATAGAAAACTATACAGGACATGAATGAAAGGAAAACCAACTGTCTTATCCATTGGATAGAGATTTCCATTTTAGAAAGCACTGTCCAATCTTGAACAACTGGTGCCTGATGGTTACAACTGACAATGGGGCCACACGAGGAAAAAGAAACATACGTGACCATGATTTGAATGACGCCCACGAACTGCGGACTATACTAACGTTGCTGTATTAAAACAAGGCACAAGCAAACGATCTTCATGTTGAGTCGTCGGTCAAAACTAATAAACATTCAGTACCTGACTCTACCAATAGCCAAAAAAGGACTAAGAAAAAGAAGGTTTGTGTTTAAATATCTCAACGAAGCAGAACCACAGCTCTTTCCAAAGTATCTTTTTTCTTTACTCACAAATAGGATAACAGAAGAGAAGAAAATGAAAGGCAAAAAAATTTGTTCTTAAATAAGGACACCGACGTACAAATTTGGCAGAAAAAACTCACCCACAGATAACTTGCACATACCTTGCCCTTGGATTCGTTCTGCGGAAGTTTCTCTTCTAAGACTTGGGAAACATCCTTCACCCTGTATATGTGAAAGTTCAAATTACTGAATCGCCAAATCACATATTTGACCCTTTCACTCCCAAAAGTTGGCCAGAGTCAAAACCACTCAACAAAAATTTCTAACTTTCACTTTCAACCAGCTGAAAAACAAATAGTACCATCTGACAGTGCTGTCAAAGAGGTTTCATTTGAATGGCAAGACCATAGGATTCCATTCACAGACTCAAAAGATAGAACTACATACTAAATAAATAGTACCATGTGAAAGTACTGCTGAAGAGGTTTCATTTGAATGGTAACACCATAGGAATCTATCCACAGACTTAAAAGTTAGAACTACATCCTAAATATATAGTATCATGTGAAAGTACTGCTGAAGAGGTTTCATTTGAATGGTCACAAAATAGGATTTCATCCACAAACTCAAAAGTTAGAACTACATACCAAGTAAATAGTACCATGTGAAAGTGCTGAAGAGGTTTCATTTGAATGGTAACACCATAGGATGTCATCCACAGACTCAAAAGTTAGAACTACATACTAAATAAATAGTACGAAGTGAAAGAATCACCTTAGCAGACTCCCTTAATTCGCTCTGGGAGTGACAGAGAAGAATACTGTAAACTTCCGCTTATAATCCCTGGGCTTACACATCTTCGTAAGGGATTTTAGAAGGGTTTATAAACGGAGAGGCTTATATCCGAGGGGGGGATAATAACCCGAATAGAAAAAACGCCTCGAAACAAGCGAAAGCAGTACTGATAAAAATACGTTTTGCATTTACTGTTTTTTAATTTAGTAACCTTCAAAACATCATAATAAATTTAGCCTGCGAGCAGGCTCACGCACAAGTGAGCCTGCAAGCTATAATAAATCGAATTCATTTCAATATGTTTGCAGGGGGGCTTAGATCCGGGGGAGGCATAAACTGCAGGGGTGGGTATTAAGTGAGGGAGCTAATAAGCAACAGTTTACAGTATTTAACCTTGTATCTTAGCATAAAGGCGACACTTAAGGTATCCTTACTTGGATGGGGATCTCTCTCTTGGCATCCAAGGGTCCTCATAATGTGGTCCATTTTCAGTTATGTCCGCGCCGTCCCGGACTTCGCGTTGATCGTTGGAAGTATCATCGTACCTCGACGGATCACTTAATGATCGACTTAAAGAGCGCACATGGGACAGTCTCGGACGACTAAACAACAGAAAAGTCATTATGTAGAGTTTACAAAATAGCCAAAAAACTGCACAGCAAGATGTCTTTCTATGCACCTTTTTCTTTTGCACAAAAACTGAGTCAAAGTTTTCAGATCGCAATTTAAGTTTTCACCGTGTCAGGTGAAGGCGACTGACGAAGTCATAAAAATAAAAATATGGAATGACGTTAATAAACTGTCGCTATATATACACTGAAATAAGTGGCTTCATGTCAGGTTCAACTGCAAGAATAATTTTTCAGCACATTTTTCATCCACTCATTCCCTAAGTTCACGTTTCCTGCTTGCCATAAACTCGACACTAAAACTCTCTGTTAAAATTGTTCGTCCCCAGACGAGTGTTGGAAGTTGTCAACAAGCCCCCAGGACACATCTCTTGCCGTAAAAAAGTTAGTGTATAAGGAGAATATTCACTGACAACAGTCGGGATAAATGAAGAAAGAACTTCACTTTACAAGTAACGTCGGGTTCCCCTTTTTGCTTATCAACAGCTATTTCTAATTTCTGTTTACGCCTTTATTTTCTGAACACCTTCATTCACTCTTTAAATCGGTATGCTGCCAAAAAAAAATACTCCCAAAGCGACAACAGTGTTTTTGTATTTCTAACGGATCAAAGATCCACAAACAGCTACATATTAACAAGGAAGTCTTACGGTGAGACAGGCGCCTTGTCCTGCTTTAACATCAGCTCTTTGTGTTGTCTGAATCTGCAAGTAATTATAATTATACTAAAATGAAATGAAAAATCTAAACTTTCTTCTCGTGAGATTAACTTACTTTATCACACAAAAACCTGAGTATAACTCTAATTTTGTGCTACTACCTAACATACCTTATTCTAGCCAGGTATCCTCTTGCGTGACTCTGTAGTAGAATAATTCTATCACGCACACTCAGATAGTCACGCCGCGCAATGTACATACGCCAAGAGGACTGGATTCGAAGGACCGCAAATGCTTGCAGCTCAAGATTAGAACGAGCCAGATAACCACGCCATGCGGCCTGGTGGAAGGAAAAAATAATTTTAAACACAAATACTCTAAACTGATCTACATTTCATTGAAGAATTAGTTGAGAGAATTGGATAATAAATCAAGGCATTTTTTTCCTTTGGTGATCATTTTATTAATTCTCATAACTTATCTCTTGACAATGTATGGACATTGTTAGGAGAAAATTGATCTTGGTCACTATTGAGACTTAAAGAGTTAAACCTAAACCCCCAACCGCCTCACACTAAAGATTGTTCTCTTAAAAAAAAATGTACCTGAATAACAATAGCAGCATTTCTTTGCCTGATAAAATGCCTTCTTTGTAGGACTCCCCTGATCCAGCGCTGTAAAACACAGACTTTGTGGATCTGTTCAGAGTGAAGGCGTGTTTGCAGCAGAGAATGCTGACTGTCTCGGAGAAAGATCTAAAAAAAATACCGCAAATCCAAAATAAGTTCACTCCCTCAAATAAAAAACTTACTCCTTTGAACGTCGACTAACGTTCCTCAATCAATTTTTCTTGTTAAATGTTTTAGAAGCAATTGACCATCCGATCTCGAAAAGGAGAGTTAATTTACTGTAAATGTAAATACTTAATTATCCTCTCCCCTCATGGGGCTTTTAAAGGATGATAATTAAAATAATGCAAATGATCATAACAAGGTTAAAGAATCCCAACTGGTGGGAGGAGAACCAGCTAGCTATTCTACAAGCATGGCCGAGGATTTGAACCCATGACTAGCGAGAACAAATCCAGCTAGCGGTCAGAGCGGGACCTGAACTTGGGACCCCGGATTACAAGTCCGGCGCCCTAACTGCTCGGCCACGCTGCCTCTAAATGGGTTAGCTTTTGCACTTTTATGTACGAACTCCGAATGGAGAAAACTCAGTCTTGAGCTAAACTTTCTTGCCCTTCTGTTTAATTAGACTATAAAAGGAGGTTCTCACTTTTTTTAAGTATGTAAATGAAATCCTCAAGTGTAATCATCGATTTAGAATTACCAAGCAGTGTTTGCCTGATGTCAAACGCGTTTATTTAACAGTTAACAGTCTCCTATTTTTGCGTAAGATCGCCAAGAACGAGCGCTTTCAAGTCTTGGAAACCAATTACAAAATGGCTGCCCCTACCGGTAAGCGCTCGATCTCTACGATCTTACGGGAAAATAGGGGCTGTGTGAAGTCTTATTCGGTTTATTGTAGGATCCAATTCTGATGTTGTGCTTTTTTGTCGTACAGGCTTGCTCTAAATTTGAGACAACATCTGATCAGGTGACATTAAAGTATTTCAAGCCACGCTCTACCTTTTGTTTGCCTAGCTGATACTCCCGTGAATCCAATCCAAAGGATTCCAGGATGCTCGGCATCTCATCTCGCAGGTCTCCATTTTCAATTTTTGGGAACAACAAGCTGTAGCGCTTCACAAATTCCTGAAAAAGACCAAGTTTGACATGGTTCAGTTTAGAGCTTCGGTTGCAAAATCATCCTGAAACAAAGAGAAAACTGACCTAACATAGCAAAGACCTGAGAGAGCCAGGTAGCACCGACCAAGGGGATGAGTGAAAAGTTGAACGTGGTGGGGACGCGGAAACCACGCTCAAAAGTACCGAAGGTTCGAACATTTTTTGACCCGAAAAAAATCTTGGGTCAACGAAAAACGAACGCCAGACCCTTGTTATCTTGCTTTTTCGCAAACAAAAGCCAGTTTTGTTGTTGTTGTGGCTTTTTGGTTTTGCTGCTTCCTTTTGTACAATTCCAAAAAGGTTTCCCGATTTGCCGCGTTCTGGACTGATCTTTGTGAGGTTTCTTCGCACCCGTAGCAGGTGATGGTACTTTGTACAATGGTTTTATGTCCCACATTTTACGAGAAGGAGGCGTGTCTCTTATGCACAGAGGATTGCGATACTTTTCCCGTCAGGCGTTTGAAATTCTCCCCCCAACTCCCGCCGAACGGCATTGTGTTCGCCATTTGCACATTTCCCACAATACAACTTGGTTTTTGGGGGGACAAGCGAGATGTTTTATGGGAGACATGCAAATGGGAAATGCCTGATTTGGATATAGCGGTAATTCACGCAGTGACACAAAAACTGTTAGCACATGTTACAAGAAAATTCTAACATAAAATAATTTTGCAAAAACCGCAAAGATAATTCTAGAGGTTTGCTAGCTCTTCCTGTACATAACAAATTACCCGCGATAAAAGTAAGTTCGGATTACACAATTAGCAAGCGAGAGAGCAAAACAGGAAACGATTCACGAGTAATCTCACGTGACATTAAGTAGCATCGCGTGCCACGTGCTCGGCTATTCTCAGCTCACTAGCTATTATCATATCGGGCCAAGGTAAATAACAAGATCTCCACTTTTCTGGTAATCTCTTTTATCCGGATTGTCTCCACTTCTTGTGGGTCGCGTCTCTCAGCACAAGGCGATTATTACGATACGTAACACACGAAACGCCAGGAATACGGTGCTAACAATATCATATCAGTCTCACTGAAACAAAGCACCGTTTCTATGCCCTTAGTGCAGTAGTGATGTAACATTGTGCTGTTATGTATTTTCCAGGGGATTGTGAGCACTCCTTCAATGACTGATTAAAACAGTCTAACCAAAGTTCAAAAACACTCGATCTATTGAAGAGGCCTTTCTACCCCAATATAATGTAACAGATATTGGCATGCAGTGATCGAATAGGATGCCCAAGTGGAATTAACCTTTTTAGTCGGTTTCGCGTCGAAAGAAAAGAGGCATTTGTGAAAACAAGTAGTTAAAACAAATGATCACACTATAGGATTCTGTCCACAGTAACAAAAATAGGAACTTCGTGTCATTCATAACTAGTGACCAGGATAATTTAAGAACACTACGAACAAACGATTCCGTAACGTGCGTCCTGTTTGATCAAAGTCCAAGTCGAGGTCAAGTTTATTTCACTTCCAATTGAAATACAGAGGTTTATAAAAAAATAATGAGAGATAACATTTCTTAAGACAGGCAGATGGATGACAGAAGCTAAAAGATATGTAAGTGAAGGAAGTTGAAGTAACTAAGAGTTTTTAAAGCCAACTCCCAAAAATGAAATCTATCTTAAGTCGTGGGGTATATAACAAGCAATACACTACGAGAGGCAGATCAAAGATAGTCTGACAGTTGTAACAGTCTTAATTTGTTATTAAATTGTCTTCTACAAGGTAGTGTTTTTATTTCTAGTGGCAACAAGCTCATAAGAGACATACGGTAAACAAAAGGATGTTCTTTCACCTCAGCAACGTTGGATATCAGCCTCAAACGGTCTTATACTAAGTAATGTTGTGACAACAAACAAGAGCAAGTCTTAAAGATTGTTTTCATTTCAGATAAAAGAAAGAAAAACAAATGAGTTCTCATGCAAAGGGCCGAATGCAGTCGAAGAAGGGACAAAAGAGTTTTAAGGGTGGCTTTTTGGTTGTTTATAGTACTTAAACCTGAACGTCCATTTATAAAGAGCCTAGATCACACACCTATCAAATGCTCAGTCAGTTCTACTTTCTGATACCGTAGGACAAAGAAAAAACAACAGGACAGCATTGTTCGCCAAATTGCAGACGACTCAGCGACACTCGAACGGATTGCGTTTGGGTTAACTTGAAATATTTTTCACATTCAGTTCAATTTGCATAAAACTGTGGATTATGATTTTTTTCCAATTACCTTCGTTTGCCCTATGCATGGCCGTGTTTTTGTCAACAGAGACTTTTGCCCCACTAATGTAGTCGGTTTACGAGCTAGTATCAAACTAATAAAAGAAAGTATACACAATCAACTTTATCCGTTATATCAGAATTCTTTGTTGACATTACTATTTTTTTCCGAAATGACCAGACGGAACGGAAATACATTTGTCTCAAGGAAAAGTCATTAAATCAGGGGCCAAAAAATCAAAACAATTCTCAAAATGAATTTTAAACGACGAAAATAAGGAAAACTATGTTTTTTCTGTCACTGACACAGGCGACTCGAAAAAAATGAATTACGAGTTCTTCCAACAGAAGTTTAAACCAAGACCTCTCGGTTGCTCATCAACACGTTCTACCACTGAGCTAAGTGAAAACTCCTAGGAGCTATTAAAGGCCATTAAACTGGGTTCAAGTGACAACCAGTCAGTTTAGCATTCTCTAGGATGGTGGATTATAAAAACAATTCAAGACCTTCTAGAACATAAAATCACCGAATGTTGCTCCAACCTTTCAGTGTTGACACCGTGCGCCCGAGAGGTTTGGCGGGAAACATTTTAGTCGTTATATATCATGTGACATAAAAGTTGCTGCATATAAGAGTGCACGTTGTTGGAAAAAGTAAATACAGTTATTTAACAAGATCAAAGAGCATGGAATTGTGTTCTCACGTTTCAAGGCTAACACCGCATACCTTGCACGTATTGAAGTGAAAGTTCTTGGAGCAATGAATAATAAAAAATGTCAAGTGCTGCTCTAAACTTTTAGTTTATATCAATTGATTTGGCTTTTCATTCTGTAAATAAATTACTAATACTTCAAAGCTGAAGGGCTAACGACAGAAAAAAACCCTGTTTTGACTTTTAGCCTTTGTAGCAATTTACATGAAGTTAATAAGCAGTCCTCTCTTGAAGAACTTTTCGCTGCTTTATTTTCCCCGATACACGACTTTTAGATAAGTGAAAAAGGAATAGCGAAAAATTCAACTTCTAATTAAATCTTTTCTTATGGTTTAGAATAAGCTATTCTCGAAACTGAGAATGTTTTGATCAAAGCTGTGTAAATCGACCTGAAACTGTGCATGGAACCTTGCGTTTCTTGTATTTAGCTCACCTATTGTATGGAATATGTGTGAAAATCTTCCTCATGAATCGGTATATTGCAAAGAGCTACACAATGAGCAAGAATGCTATTGACCGACAATATACAGAGCCGCAGGGGCAGCTGTAGTATCAACTATTACTAGTTTCGTTAGTATTGTTTTAACACCTGTTAACAACAGCTAACTTTCGAATACCGATGTATAAAAGACATCGGTCAATAGAGCTAAACTTACAATGCTTAAAAACTCGATGAACGAAATACAAGGATTAATGCAACTACTAACCTTGAACAAATGGAAAACAGTGAAGGCAATGAGAATAAGAAAGGTTGACCCCTTGATACCAACTCTCCACGCGGCGGATAAAAAGCCTTTCACGATCATCTTTCCGCAACACGACTTTCCTCTGGTAAAACTTTTGATACACCTTAAAGGTTTGTGCTTATATCAAAAACTTTAGAATGCAAACTATTTACAAGGAATGTTGAATTTGCTTGGGCCTGTGAGTTATATTTAAAAAACAAAAAAGAACACTAAAGTATGTACTTAACATGAAACTGAAAAAAAAGGAAAAGACAAGACAAGGCGGGACATGCATTATATTGGCATAAAGAATGATAGGCATTCATCAGCACAGAAAAATGTGGAATACGTGAAACGCAGTTGAGTGATTCCTAACTTTTTCCAAGTGCCATGAAATACCGAGACAAGAGGCCACATTTATACACTTTCTATTTTTACCATTGAAATGTAAAACCGCGTCACGAAAAATGAATTTGCCGACTGCAAACAAAAATTACAATATAAAGCCTACACGACCATTTCTAAATTTACAACTAAAAGAAACACGCGCGCACGGAAAGAATGACAAATGTTGAACGACATTGCCCTGGAATACGACTGCATATTAAAAAGCAAAAGGAAAGATAGAAATCAAAGCACGTGCCACGTCAAGGGTCGCCACAAGTGCTTTCTTGAAGTAATTGAGCAAGCACGTTTCCTTATTTTAGGACACTGTACCGTGAGAGTGGTTTGGATAATACGCACTGTCATGAGAGATAGACAAATCCAGTGATGTATTTGTAACAATTTAAACATGTTCCTGTTTTGTATAGAAGTACTTTATAAATGCAATACAACCATTTAAGGTTGTCTCTCACAGAACAAAGATGAAAAAACACGCTTAACTTTTTCAAGTTGTTTAATCGTGTCTCAGTTAATTGCTAAAAATAACACATTTTTGCTTTCTTTCCGTAGCTTTGTTTGAAAATTACCCTTTAGTGTTGCGGAAAGAGTGATTACCCGCTGATAATTTTTAAAAAGCAATGACAAAAATTCCAGCGACAGTGCCACTTTAAATAGCCATTGAATCCCACGAAATTTCAACTGACCGAAAACCTTCTTAAACTACTCAATGATGCACAAAGAGAAAACAACGGGAGACAGTACCTTGCAGAAAGTTTGAATGTTGGATCCTAAGGCCCGGTTCAAACGTCGAACTATTTAGGTCGACCAATTAAGTTCGACTGTTCATTGAAATCGTAATGTAATTTAAAATTTAACCCCCCCCCTTTTTTTTCAAATGTCACGATCAATAACAATAACAATAACATTTATTATTTGTATTGCGCCTTTTCTATAAAATATTCAAAAGCGATCACGATCTCCTCAGCTGTCTCCTTGCCATAACAGAGCACAAATCACACACAAATCTGTCAAGTTTATTCATTATTTTAGAGGAGAATTCACAAACTGCGCTAACGGCAAATAGCAGGGTTAATCTAGGAGGGTAGAGGCCAATTAGATAGGTTTTAATACGCTGAAAATCTAAATAAATAAACGAATAAATAGATAAATATATAAATTTCTCAGAGATAAAGAGAAAAAAATATAATTATAATTACAAGGAACTTGCAGAAAGCAGAAATTAGGTTTAAATCAAAATAAAATCTAGCACCGAGATAAAGGCTAAAGCGAGTAAAGGTTTTAACAGTTTTCACTAGGTTTCTTTTATCCTTTGACAACAATAGGTGCTTCAAAGTCAACTTCGTTGGTTTGCAAAAGAGAAAACAACGTATTTCAGCGGGGATGCTATTCCGTAACTTGGTTCATCCAAATCTGGTGAAAGATCTAAGTTGTTGATTTGTTTTTGAAATAGTGATGTAAAAGTCCCTTGAACTAGAAGACCTTGTTTTATATCTGCTTTCAAGAAGTACATGGTCTGATACATGGTCTGGGGTTGTACTATCCAAACAATCGCTGAAAGTGAATCGTGTCGCCTCGTTTACTTCAACCCAACTATCACTGTTTGGATATCTCCTGAAACAATCATCCTTTCTTTGCTATTCTATGTTGTTATACTTAAGAGTTTCCTTCCTAACTGAAGACAATAATACAATAACAACCGTTCAATACCGAGAGTAGAAAATATTGTACACTTTAGACCGCATAATTAATATAACTTAAAATAGAACAGACACCTTTTTTTTTCATTAGAGTATTTAATTAGTTATCACCAGAAGTAACGCAAATGTAGCTTTGAAAATATTTTCCATGCACTTTCAAGTCAACAACACCTTGCGTGCATGGTAGTGTCAACTTCAACCCCATTCACACCCCCCAAAAAGTCTAAAATTTAAGTCATTTTTATTCGTATGAAAATAAAACTACAACTGCTAGGTTACATTTAAAGGTGAATAGCCACATAAAAGGAATTTGTCCAGGATTGAAAAGTTAGATCTGCCAATCATGCCTCAAGAGAAACGTTTCAGTTGTAAACGTCTTAAGAGATGAGAGCACCAGTTTCATCGTTTTAGGTAAAAATTCCATAAGTTTTTCATGACATCATCTTAAATAGACGGCCTTCTTAACATACTTACTGATATTGAATTCAAGCTAAAACCAAAACAAAAACTCTAATAATAAAATATGACGAGCCATTTGGAGAACGTTATCCCTTTAGAATCTAATCATTTTCGGTCATCGATGGCGTTTCGCTACTACTTATGTATTTCAGAGATCCTCGATCAAAATTACGATTACAAATCTGTATTATTACCGCAAAGTTCTCCACCAATTTGGGGACATCAAATTTAAACATAGGCTGAGTGTACCCCCTTCAAATTGTATGTTAAAAGCGCAAGACTCGATTGTTACAAATATTCTTTTTTTAATAGAATAGTTTCAAAATGAAACGATCTTCCAGGAGTCATAGTAGAGGCTGAAAGCCTTCATTATTTTAAAAATAAGCTTCATCATTATCTATTTAATAAATTTTAAACTAGAACTGTCTTTTCATTAAGGACTTGATTTTTGAATAATTGTATTGTATTTGATGTTTTTATTTAGCATTTTCTATTTCTGTTTGGGAGTTCTAATATAGGGCTAACCTCTCAACTTCCTTTTCAAGATGTCTTTTAATATTGTTTTTCCTGTAAATAAGCTTGTTTACATCTTGAATAAAGTTAGTATGTATATATGTATGTATGTACGGTGGAGTGGCACGCATAGCACATGAGCAGAAGATTTCAAAGATACAAGAATCATTCAATTCGTAAAAACAAGTAGTTAAAACAAGTGATCACCTTACAGGATTCTGTCCACAGTAACAACAATAGGAACTTCGTATCATACATAACTAGTGACCAGGATAAGATAAGAACACTACGATCAAACTATTCTGTAACGTGCCTTCTGTTTGATCAAAGTCCAAGTCAAGTCAGGTTTATTTCACTTCCAATTGAAATACAGAGGTTAATAAAAAATAATGAGATATAACATTTCTTAAGACAGGCATATATATAACAGAAGCTAAAAGATATGTAAGTGAAGGAAGTTGAAGTAACTAAGAGTTTTTAAAGCCAACTCCCAAAAATGAAATCTATCTTAAGTCGTGGGGTATGAAACAAGCAATACACTACGAGAGGTAGATCAAAGAAAGTCTGACAGTTGTAACAGTATTAATTTGTTTTTAAATTGTCTTCTACAAGGTAGTGTTTTTATTTCTAGTGGCAACACGCTCATAAGAGACAAAAGGATGTTCTTTCACCTCAGCAACGTTGGATATCAGCCTCAAACGGTCTTATACTAAGTAATGTTGTGACAACAAACAAGAGCAAGTCTTAAACTATTGCTTTCATTTCAGATAAAAGAAAGAAAAACAAATGAGTTCTCATGCAAAGGGCCGAATGCAGTCGAAGAAGGGGCATAAGAGTTTTACGGGTGGCCATTTGGTTGTTTATAGTACTTAAACCTGAACGTCCATTTTATAAAGGGTCTAGATCACACACTTATCAAATGCTCAGTCAGTTCTATCTTCTGATGCCGTAGGACAAAGAAAAAACAACAGGACAGCATTGCTGGTCAAACTGGAGAAGACTCAGCGACACTCGAACGAATTGCGTTTGGGTTAACTTGAAATATTTTTCACATTCAGTTCAATTTGCATAAAACTTTGAATTATGATTTTTTCCAATTACCTTCGTTTGCCCTATGCATGGCCGTGTTTTTGTCAACAGAGACTTCTGCCCCACTAATGTAGCTTACGGGCTACTATTAATCTAATAAAAGCAAGTATACACAATCAACTTTATTCGTCATATCAGAATTCTTTGTTGACATTACTATTTTTTCCGAAATGACCAGACGGAAAGGAAATACAAAAAAGTCATTAAATCAGGGGCCAAAAAATCAAAACAATTCTCAAAATGAATTTTAAACGACGAAAATAAGGAAAACGATGTTTTTTTTGTCACTGACACAAGCGACTCGAAAAAAAATGAATTGCGAGTTCTTCCGACAGAAGTTTAAACCAAGACCCCCTTGGTTGCTCATCCAGATGTTCTACCACTGAGCTAAGTCGGAAAACTCCTAGGAGCTATTAAAGGCCATTAAACTGGGTTCAAGTGACAAACAGCCAGTTTAGCATTTTCTAGGATTGTGGATTATAAAAACAATTCAAGACCTTCTAGAACATAAAATCATTGAATGTTGCTCCAACCTTTCAGTGCTGGCACCGTGCGCCCGAGAGGTTTGGCGGAAAACCCTTAAGTTGTTACATATCATGTGACATAAAAGTTGCTGCATACAAGAGTGCACGTTGTTGGAAAAAGTAAATACAGTTATTTAACAACATCAAAGAGCATGGAATGTTGTTCTGACGTTTCAAGGCTAACACTGTATACCTTGCACGTATTCAAGTGAAAGTTCTTGGAGTAATGAATAATAAAAAATGTCAAGTGGTGCTCTAAACTTTTAGTTTATATCAACTGATTTGGCTTTTCATTCTGTGAATAAATTACTGATACTTCAAAGCTAAAGGGCTAACGACAGAAAAAAAACCCTGTGTTGACTTTTAGCCTGTGTAGCAATTTACATGAAGTTAATAAGCAGTCCTCTCTTGAAGTACTTTTCGCTGCTTTATTTTCCCCGATACACGACTTTTAGATAACTTTTCTCGGAGTTGACTTTAGCAGCTTCGGGCTCCTTAGAATAAGTACGTCTCTTACATAAACGTGTGTAGAAAAATTATACAAACGCGTTCTAGCTTTAAGAATAAAAATAAGTCATTGCGCAAAACCTGCTAAACAGGCTGTGTTGTCAATAACACCGAAAATGTTCAGCCGTAACTTGAGCAGTTCAGTCATCCTACAGGGCATATTCATTACGTCTCATAACCTTGATTCGGCACTTTTCAAAAAGCATTAGATGTCAAACACAGTTTTAAAAATTGCTCATCCAGTGTGCTTGGTCGGGAAGGAAAGGTGTGTTCGGGGTTGGAGAGGTGCAGCAGTTCTTTTTAAGCACTCTCGAGATTGCTCGCCGGTACGAAAATTCTTTGTTGGGAGAGATATAGATGTTGTAAGAGGATTAACTGCAGGCTTTGTTTCTCTTGCGTCACGATTCGTAAAACCTTTTCAAGTGTCTTTTTAACCCTCCTAGCTCATTACTAGCATGAATACTACCTAATTATTTTCCTACACAACGCTTAGAAACGAATAGTGACACGCGAAAGCGCTGCAGTAGAGGATTCACTTGCACGTGACACTATGGAATTTTCTCCGCGAACTCAAAAGTCAAGAACACATCGCACGCTTCCATAACAATGAATCAGGGAGATTTTCACAAACGATAAAAAAACGGTCCAAAGACGGCCCGTTACAAAAACAAATTGATTAATACATAGGTCCGGAAACCACAGATAGCTTAACATCCACAAAAAAGACAAATAACGTGCCACAATCAGTCGGCTATGGCATACTCTACGAATGCACGACTCGACAGCTGTGTGATTTTAATCATGAGTTTCCTCTTCTTTTACTTGCTTCTTTTCCGCATTTTTGGAAGCAAAAATCATTGAAGATTATTTAAAAAGAGAGAATAAACATAAACGTATGAAATTCAGTGAAATAATAAGAACTGGTTACCGTATTTGGAAAATTTTGTACCATAAAATGACCAGATTATACGCAAAATGAAAAAATGAGCGGGCATCATTTTTTCTTGGAGAGGAGAACAAACGTTATAACAATCTTATAACGGTACGAAACAAACCGTCAACAAGAACAAAAGTGACCGATCAATAAACGATACAAGCACTGAAAGGAAATTATTTGATACGTATTTGATGTAATTCTATTGTTTTCTCTATGCACGCGAGGTGGTTCTCCAAAGCAAAACCACAAAAAATACGTCCACTTCAAGAACATCCCTTTTTCTAAATAGAAACATCATATCAACTGCCCTCCTCTTAGTTAAAAATTGTAGTAATAACGTGGTCTACGAAAATTTAGGTTTAGTCTGCAATTGGCATTTTAGGCTCTGGAGACTTCCCGAATCACTGCCATAAGCAAATTAATGGTTGTGTTGAGGGCTTTTACGTGCCATATTTCCGACCTAAAAAAGCGAAGTTAAGTTATCGCGAGCATTCACAAGAATACGAGAAGCACGTAAGGTCAAAACTAACCACTTTTAAAAGAAGAGACATAACGTAACCTTCCATACATTTTGAGAAAGTATTGTTTACATTATCGGTGCATGTTTTTAGGAAAAATCTCAAGATACGTATCAATGACTAAAATAGGAGATCAAAACAATTGTGTCAAATCATAGAGCGAGTCACGAGTGTCTCTAACAAAATTACATCTTCACCGCAAACAAACAACTTTTGGATCATACGGTTATTGCTTTTGTCGGCCCGGTAACTACAATTTTCAGTCAGCTCTGTACTGGAAAATCAAGTTCAATTCTTCCACGATTTTCCAACAGCAGAAACGAACGCCCCCGCTTTGACAAAGGGCACAAATGAGAGCAAATCGCTTTTTATTACATGCTGAACATCATCACGTTTTAACAAAGTAACCCTTGTTCAAAGTTTTAGTTTGAAGTGGTCAACGTTAGACACAATATACTACACTATAATACAACGCCATAAACGTTATGAAGGGCTTGCAAGATTTTGGTGGTTAAATCAGTATTATAAGATGTCAACAGAAACACCTTATATGGCATAACAGCACAACCGCATAATTGTATTAGCTATTACGAGAATTTCAGACACATCAAATTAATGGCAGACTGTGTGTCAAAACTGCTTTGAATTGGAGTCAACCAAAACAAAATTAAAATACTACGCGAATTAGAGACAGGTATGCAGTAATTAAGGCAAAAAAAGGTTTTTAATTTAATCAGCGACAATCCGGAAGTAGCATGATTATAAAAAAAATTATTAGTTCGAATGCAAAATTTGATTATGCGCCTTTAAGAGTTCCCAAAAGTAAATAACAAGAATTAATCTTCGAATTGGGTAAAATAAAATTAAAAGACAAAATTATGACCAGCAGGAGGCGTTCAATTCAGTCTACTCTTGGATCGAAGACATTATGCCGGCGTTAACCAGCAAAACGGATCACTTCTATTTTTGTCTCTTATGCCGAGTCGACGCAATTCCGGATGGGAAAGGGCAAAATTCCTTCGAGGAGTAACAAATAACATAACAAAATTCTCCTACCAATTTGAAATAACTAACAGACCGTCTCTTCATTTCGTTAGGATTGTTCTAACACATGTTAACAACAGCTAACTTTCGAATACCGATGTATAAAAGACATCAGTCAATAGAGCTAAACTTACAATGCTTAAAAACTCGATGAACGAATTACAAGGATTAATGAAACTACTAACCTTGAACAAATGGAAAACAGTGAAGGCAATGAGAATAAGAAAGGTTGACCCCTCGATACCAACTCTCCACGCGGCGGACAAAAAGCCTTTCACGATCATCTTTCCTTATTTTAACTTTGCGAGTTCAAACAAACTCGCCTTCCACACGATTCCATTTTATACTCGTCGAGAAACGTGGCGAATTTCTCTTCTTAACGTTTACACCGGCGTTATGATGTGAGCATCATATTGCGTACAAATCTAAAAGCATCATGTTATCGACAGACTGAAAATAATCTGGTAAGTTTGCGAGAGCTTAAAGCAGCTGTAATCAAGAACGCAATATCCCGACTTATCAAACGCCAAATATCGGATGACAGCTTTCGTCACCTGTTGTGGGCATGCACGAACTTCCCTGGCCAGTTGCCTTCCGGATAACTACCACTTTCTTAAGAAGTTCCTTTTGAATTCACCAAAATTTAAATTGTAACGATGCCAAATTTTCTGCACAAGTGTCTTCAAGTGGATAACTGTCACACATGATTATTGCATTCGAGGGTTTGAGGGGGAAGTTCACCATAACTTCCCAGGTTTTTCCGTGAACTGCGCTGAATTGTCGGTCTTATGAAGGTACACTGGCTAATGTACAAAATGACTTTTGAACAACTATTTTGAACAAAGTCGTCAATTTATTCTCTAAGGCGTGAGAAAACCACCTTTCAAGTATTTCGCGCGCGGTCAAAGATTAAAAAAAAATCGGCCTAACTATGCAAACTTTGGTTCACTATCCGTCCTTAGTCAATGACACTTTTAATAGCTTTATGCACCAGTTTATAATACGAGTTTTAACCCCTTCACTCACAGAGCGATTGATGGCGTTTTTTAACTTGGTTCTAACTTTCGAGTCTGTGGACTAAATCCTCCACGGGAAAGGGGGGGGTATTTCCTTATAAGCGGCTAATGGGGATGTGCCGCTGGATGGGGTTGCATTTTCACGACTGGATTGACTACAATGGGCTAGCATATTTTCGGATTTTTGAGGGTAAGACAGTTCTTCATATTTACGGTTAGTAAACGTATCAGAATGTTTGTACTGTAGATGAAAAGTAAAGTGTTCTTCATTCAATCTAAAAAATGGGTCAATTCATTAAAATGGAGAGTGACATAAGTTGGTATCGCGAAAATTACATACTTGCCCAAAAGTGACTAAGATGGGGTCTATAATTGGCCCCAGAATAGACTATAACGGGGTAGGGGCTCTGAGAGGCAGCGGCACATACTCTGCAAAAACTAACCCAAGTACCCCCCCCGCCCCCGGGTAAATGGTATGACCATTCAAAAGAAACCTCTTCAGCAGTACTTTCACATGGCATAATTTGTTTTTCAGAATTTCATACAATAAAACTTGGGAACGCTGTTGAATTTGGACTTTTAAGAAAGAAAAGGTTAAGCAAGACCGAGTCAGCCTTGGGGGATTTCCACTGATACGTTATCTTCTCCGCTGGATTTTCTAAGTAGCCACCAAATCCTCATCTTCTACAGCTTAGTATTTAGCATCACACGATAGCACCGATCAAAACCTTTCTGTCTCAAGATTCGTCCAAGGTTGAGCGAATACCAACTCGACATAAATTGTTCTTTTGTTCTCAGGGGCGTTAGGGTTAAATGCAACTGGCCCAGAGAACTGGAGGAGTTTTCACTATCATATCAAAAATGCTAGTTTTCCGTAGATCATGCGATACACGTATCTTAGGGTCTTGTTTGCTTGTTTATTTTATCTTATCTTATTTTTTGTTTCTTTTATTTTCTTGATTGCGTGACGACACTAAAAACGGCTGTGTAGCAGACCAGCGAGAAGTCTGAAAAAAGATTTAAGCTCAACAAGAACAAGCAATTATGACAAAAGTGTAGGAAAAACGATCGTTCACTCGAGAACAGACGAAAAAGACCTAGGTGCGTTCTCGAATAATATCCTTTTGGACGAAACGAATCGCCGTAAACCTTTCTAGAACTTACTGTAAAATGGAACCTAACTGAACACCACGTTTGGACGACTGATTCTAAGAAAATGGACAATGGAGGCTAATCCTTCTGCTTCTGCTTTATTACGTTTTTATTGTGATATGACTATATCGCTTTACTTCAATTTCCTGTTTGCTGTCTAAGTGTACTTGTTTTTGTTAGTACAATGGTTCCCGCTAATAATTTGTAAGACATCAAGTAGTTTTATCACCTTTGCTGGAAAAAAAAGACGTTGTTACCATTGCTGCTCCCCATTTTATCCATTATTTATTTATACGTTTATTATTACTTTTAAACACTGATGAAAATGGCGACTATTGGTATCGGCCCTAAAGAAGTTTTATTATTATTACTATCATTATTATTATATTTAATATTATTAATATTATTATTAACTTTATCATTATCACTATTATTTTTATCATCATTATCATCATCGCCATCATCATCATCATCATCACTGTCGATTGTAGACATTGCGAAACAGGAAAGTGATAAATTTCGAAACAGCCTTCTTAGCTAGGAAAAAATCATTAGAAATAACACTTAACCAAAAGACAGACTTAAGTTAAACATAACTGAAGTAACATAACGTCAAAAACAAAAAATGCGGTTTCGACGAGTAAACGTCCTCATTGCATTTTATCGATATGCCATATAGCCCACATAACTGTGACTTTTGAAATTCGCACTTGATATTGACAACTTGAAATTTTGTATTCTTTAGCGTTAAACATTCTTTCGCAACAAGTTAAATATCCACTTTCAGTCCTTTTACTTTTAAAATATGCCAAAGAAATGGTAGAAATGCTGCTCGAAGTTTACCACTTTTCAAAAACTTCCGGAATTTCGCCTGGAAGTCAAATAGGAAAAAGGTGTATTACACCGCAAAATTTACAGACTTAATGTCTTCAACGGGAGACAACATTTCTGAACCGGAATATCATGACGGAAATACAACGTGTTCTTGTACATTCTATTCAGTTCTTAACATTAAAAACAAAAGCCCTGCGCTAATTTTGATCCAAACGCACGACTAATCTGATAGATGAAATTACTTCTTGGTGCTGGGATTAAACGGGGGGTTTTAAGTATAAACGACCCTGCCAATTTTAATCTGTGCTACGAGGTACAGTAAATTTCAAGAAATTTCACTCTATCTTGACCACGCAACGTCTGCCGTTTAAAGAATACTTATAGAATTTGAATTCTTGGGGGATATATTAACTTGAAATGAGAACAGCGACAAATGATGGAGTCTTGTAGAGTTGTTCTAACTTTTGAGTCTGTGGATGAAATCTTATGGTTTTACCATTCAAATGAAACCTCTTCAGCAGTACTGTCACATGGTAC